AGGGGACGGAGGTTGCGGTGAGCCGAGATTGCGCCATTGCACTCCAGCCTGGGTAACAAGAGCAAAACTCCATCTCAAAAAAAAAAAAAAAAATTAGCTGGACATGGTGGCGCGTGCCTGTAATCCCAGCTACTCAGGAGGCTGAGGCAGGAGAATTGCCTGAACCCAGGAGGCGGACGTTGCAGTGAGCCGAGATTGCGCCATTGCACTCCAGCCTGGGTAACAAGAGCCGGGGAAAAAAAAGGGCAACGACAAGTGTTGCAAGAATGTGGAGAAATTAGAACTCTTGTGTATTTCTAGTGAGAAAATGAAATAGGAAGCTGCTATAGAAAGCAGAAGGTTCAAAAAGTTTCAATAAAATAAAATAAAAATAGAATGATCACATGACGCAGCAGTTACACTTCTGGGTATACACCCAAAGGACTGAAAGCAGAAATCTGAGCAGATTTTTATGCAACTATGTTCACAGCAGCATATTCACAACAGCTAAAAGGTAAAAGCAACCCAAGTGCTCAACAGACAAATGGATAAACAAAATGTGTTATATACATAAAGTGGGATATTATTTTGCCTTAAAATAGCAATACTATTTTAAATTAAAATAGCTGACACATTTTGCAACATGGATGAGCCTTAAATATATTATATTAAGCCAGTCACAACAGGACAAACACTCTGTGATTTCATTTATATGAGGTGTGTAGACTAGGCACATTCACAGACACAGAAAGTAGAACCATGCTTCCCAGGGGATATGAGTTATCACTTAATTGATATAAGAAGAGAAATTATTAGAACAGAACTGACCCACCAACAACAGCTAGAAGTCATTCATCAGATAGCTATTTTCAAGATGCTGATACAAGGTTTCAGTTTGGGAAGAGGAAGACATTTCAGGAGATTAATGGTTGTGTAAGGCTATTCTTGCATTGCTATAAAGGAATACCTGAGTCTAGATAATTTATAAATAAAAGAGGTTTAATAGGCTCATAGTTCTGCAGGCTGTACAGAAAGCATGGGGCTAGCATCTGCTCGGCTCATGGTAAGGCCTCAGGAAAATTACAATCATGGCAAAAGGTAGAGGAGGAACAAGCGTCTAATGCGTTAAGAGTGGGAGCAAGAGAGAAGTGGGCGGAAGGTGCCACACACTTTCAAACAGCCAGATCTTGTGAGAATTCACTATCTCGAGGATAGCACCAAGCCATGAAGAATCCACCCCAGTGACCCAAACACCTCCCACCAGGCCCTACCTCCAACATAGGGGATTACATTTCAACATGAGATGTGGGGGGCCAAATATCTAAACCATATCCATGGTGGTGATTTACAACAATGTGACTATACTTAATGCCACTTACCTATATGCTGAACTAAGAGGTTCAAATAATAATTTTTTGTTTTGCTGCATATTTTACCATGATTTTTAAAAAGCAATTGAAGATTTGATCAGGCACATCACTAAAACAGAAAAATGAATGGCAAACAAGCCCATGTAAATATGCTCAATATCATTTGCCATTAGGTAATTATGGATTAGAACCAGAATTAGGTAGTATTACATGTTTAATAGAATGACCAAAAAAACAAAACAATAGTAAAATTTTTTTTTTAATTCTGCTAATATCAAGTGCTAACAAGGATGTGAAGTGCCCAGACTCATATCTACTGCTGGTGGGACTACAAAGTGTTATATTCACTTTGGAGAACAATTTGGCAATTTCGTATCAATTTAAACTCACACCATATAACCAAGCACCTGGCTCCTAGGTATGTATCCGACAGAAATAAAACTTATGTCCACATACAGAAACCTGAATGTCAATGTGTTTTTGTTTGTTTGTTTTGAGACGGGGTCTCACTCTGTCACCCAGGTTGGAGTGCGGTGGTGCAATCTCTGCTCACCACAACTTCTACCTCCCAGGTTCAAGCAATCCTCCCACCCCAGCCTCCCGAGTAGCTGGAACCAAAGATGCACGCCACAACATCCAGCTAATTTTTTGTATTTTTGGTAGAGATAGGGTTTTGCCATGTTGCGTAGGCTGATCTCAACCTCCTGAGTGCAAGCTGTCCTTTTGCCTCAGCCTCCCATACCGCTGGGATTACAGGCGTGTGCCACTGCACCCGGCCCACGTCAATATTTATAGCAGATTTATTTCATGGTCACAAAAACCTGGAAACAATCTGAATCTTCTTTAACTGGTAAATGTCTACTAAGGATCCAACAAAACCTTGGAGTACCAGTCAGCAATTAAAGAGAACAATTATTGATGTATTCGCCCAATCATAGGGCTGAGCCAGAAATGCATTATGCCAAGCAAATGAAACCAGGCTTTAAAAGCAACATTTGGTATGATTCCATGCATATGGCATTCTATAAAAAGGCATATCAATATGGATGAAGAAGAGATCAATGTCCTTTTAGGAGTTAAGGGTGAAGAGAGGGTTGACTACAGCAGCAGAGTGAACCGCAGGAGGAAGTATTATAGGTAATGACAATCTGCTGAGTCTTGATAGTAGTTTTGGCTACATATCTATCTACATCAATCGGCCACATAGAATTGTACGTGATAAAGACTGAATCCAACTGTATCCAAATTTAAATAAAATTAAAAATTGGGCCAGGTGTGGTGGCTCGCGCCTGTAATCCCAGCACTTTGGGAGGCCAAGGTAGGCAGATCACAAGGTCAGGAGTTGGAGACCAGCATGACCAACATGGTGAAACCCTGTCTCTACTAAAAATACAAAAATTAGCTGGGCGTGGTGGCATGCGCCTGTAATACCAGCTACACAGGAGGCAGAGGTTGCAGTGAGCCAAGACCATGCCACTGCACTACAGCAAGAAAGCAAGACTCTGTCTCAAAATAATAATAATAATAATAATAAAATTAATGGAAAAACATGAGATACTATTAAATTCTTACTAGAAGTATCAAAATATAAAGAGTGAAAATACCAAGTATTTATAAGGGTATGGAACTACTGGTATTCTGGCACATGACTGGAAAAAGTAATAAAAGTCAAATTATTTTTGGACAAATTTGGCAATTTCTACCAAAATTAGACACACAAGCAGGGTTTGGTCTTATCATTCCTCTTCTTATGTATACTCATGAGGATAAAAATATGTCTATAAAAAGACGTGAGTATCATTAGTAAAAAAATGGGGAAGTCTCAAATGTCTATCAGTAGGTGAATATATATAAGACTATAGTATATCCATATAATGGGATGCTATTTAGCAATATCACACTGTGAACTATAGGTACATACAACTTAGCTCAGTTTCAAAAAATATGCTGAGTTTCAGCAATACAGACACAGATGAGTACATTCCTTCCTAGGAAATTTTGAAATAGGCAAAAGTGACACACCATGAGAGAGAGCATATTGGTGGTTGCCTGGCACAAGAGGTGGGAATGATGAACTACAAAGAGTTAGGTAAAGCCCTTGGTGTAGTAGAAATGTTGTGTATATTATTGCGGCAGTCACAATAGGGCTGTATACACTTGTCAAAACTCACGGAAACAAACACTTCAAGCAGGTGCATATTATTTCAAGTAAATTATACCTAGTTCATTATAGTTCATTAGTAAATTATACCTAGTTCATTAGTAAATTATACCTTGTTCATTAAACAAACACAATAAGACTCACAGTCACATGCATCCCTCTAGTTCATGAACATGGTATAATTTTTTACTGTTAAAAGTAAATATACTGGATATTCTATTATATGCATATAGTATATTTTAAAATAATATACAGCAAGATATTATTTATTGGGGACTCAATTCCTTATATATAAAAAGAGGATGAAAATAGCTCTCTATGGTAGGTAGGATGAATGAACATTTTTCTAGATACTATTGTGTATAGAGATTTTATCTGTATATGGTTGCAAATACTGTTACATCTTAGGCATTGAGGATCTGCCAGATGCGTACCACACAGAGTAAAATGAAAAACCATATAAGCTGAAGCTAAATTTTAATTTTGTCTGTATACTCCACTGATGTTGTCAGGAAATATTATCTCTTTGAGCCACATTTAACTATGAGAAGCATATTCTTACATGAAAGCTAATCTCTATGGTGAGCCCCATCTTACATGAAAGCTAATCTCTATGGTGAGCCCCATAAAAAAAATTGCTGCTGTCCCCACTGCTGGGAATGGCACACTGATGGGAAAGAAATTTTTTCTGCACTTGTTCATAGAAGCTTTTGTTTTACATGAAAGTACTGCCTATTTTTTATTTTGGAGAGGTCACTGAAACATTGCAAATCAGTGTCCTAACTGCCAGGCAAAGAAAATCAATAGTCATATTTCCTTAAAATACCTAATATGCTATCATGACATATGACAGTCACCAGCATCCACAGTTGTAAAGCCAGACAGGATTTGTGTGTGGTGAATGGGAGGCTATGGATGGGGAGTATCTCAAGGGTGGGGACCAGGTGAGCAGCATCTCTTCTTGCCTCCAGCTCCATTGACACATAGACGCTTCGTATAGCTTTGGTGAATAAATGAATGTATGAATGGATGGCTGCCACCTTACTGCACCTAGGACCCTTCTTCATTTCTTCTGCCCCAGACACTTAAACGAACCCTACAGAAACCTATATCCTGCAGGACAGACTACCTTACAGGTCAAAAAGAGGCTGAGATTTGGGCCAGGCCAGGAGTGACCAGCTCCCTCATGTAAACAATTGTGCACAGAAAAGCACCCCAGAGTGGAAGGACTTTAGATATGGGTGTCCCATGTCTCAGATGACACCAGAGGTATAGGTCCAGGCTCTGGTGCTCCTGGGAGGCAAGACTCAGGTTCTGCTTCATTTCCTCCCCCCTCTGGGCAGGTCTCTGGCATCTCTGGCCCATGAGGGATCTGTCCAATCTGTGTGGAGGAAATGAGCTCTGAGCAAGTGTGGATCTGAGGTTCCTCTTCTGTGCAGGGTTGAGGTCTCCTGCTCCTCCCCAGCTTCCCTTTCAGTCCTGCAGCTCTCCCCCTCCACTTCCTTCCTCTTCTCTGCTACACAGGGAGCCCAGGAGATCTCTACCTCAAAGATGTCACTGCTGCTGCTGCTGCCCCTGCTGTGGGCAGGTGAGTGGCTGCAGGGAGAGGGGTTGTGGGGCTGGGCCAAGCTGATCCTCATTTCCCCACAGGGGCCCTGGCTAAGGATTCAGGATTCTGGCTGAAAGTGCAAGATTCAGTGACAGTGCAGGAGGGTTTGTGCGTCCTCGTGCCCTGCACTTTCTCCCTCCCACCCCACTACCTCAGGAATAACCCAGTTCATGGTTACTGGTTCCGGAAAGGAGCCACTGTATCCCTGGACTCTCCAGTGGCCACAAACAACCCAGATCGAGAAGTACAGGAGGAGACCCAGGGCCGATTCCGCCTTCTCGGGGATCCCAGGAAGAACAACTGCTCCCTGCGCATTGTAGATGCCAGGAGGAGGGACAATGGTTCATACTTCTTTTGGATAGAGATGGGAAGTACCAAATACAGTTACACATCCACCCAGCTCTCTGTGCATATGACAGGTGAGGCACGGGCTCCAGAAGCAGCCACAAGGGGAGTTGAAGGGTACTGCAGGGCAGGGCTGGGATGGAACCCTGGTACTGGGAGGGGTTTAGGAGTAAAGCCTGTCATGCTTACAGGGGGAACTTGACCAGAGCTTGATCTTCTCTCAGGGCCTCACCTGGACCCTCCCTCCTGATCGTGCATCCCCTGCTTTCTCCTCACCAGACTTGGCCCACAGGCCCAATATCCTCATCCCTGGAGCCCTAGACCCTGGCCACTCCAAAAACCTAAACTGCTCTGTGCCCTGGGCCTGTGAACAGGGAACACCCCTCATCTTCTCCTGGATGTCAGCTGCCTCCACCTCCCTGGACCTCAGGACCCTCCACTCCTCAGTGCTCATGATTACCGCACGGCCCCAAGACCACAGCACTAACCTCACCTGTCAGGTGATGTTTCCCTGAGCTAGTTTGACCAGAGAGAGAACCAACCAGCTCAGTGTCTCCTGTGAATGCTGGGCCAGGATGCCCAGGTCCCTGAGGGTGTGGTGGGGGTAGGACCAGGACTGGGGCCACTTGGTGGCTTTGTCCTGGAGGCCTGGCTGAGCAGATGACCTAGAAGGGTACAAGTGCTGTCTCTACATATCTGTGGTTTCTGGAAGGAATGCCGCCCTTGTTTCACCCCAACCCCAACTAAATGGGAAATCCTCTCTTGCTGTCCTAGATCCTCCAGGGAACTCAAAGATCAGTGTCTCCCCAGGAGAAGGCACAGGTAGGATGGAAACTCCCTCCTTGGGAGGAGGAAACCTTCAGATCAGGGCAGGGCTGGGCCTCTCCTCATCCAGAACTCACCTCATCCTGTTGATCTGACACCCTTTTGTGGGTGAACCAAGGCCCCCTTCCCATCCTCAGCCCCCATGGCCACCTGAGCATCTGTCCCCATTGCCCCTGTACTCCCCTCAGACTCCACACACACCCCCAATCCCACAACAAGGGCAGGGTGACATTCACACAGACCCAGCCTTTCAGGTTCCCTACACTCATCACCTGAACATGCCTCCTGACTCCTCTATTTCCCCCTATAGCTCTGACCGAAGTGCTTCTGGACAGGTGATAGTCTCGGGGCAAAACTTAAAATGGACAGCAGTCTGTCTTCAGATGCCCATCCTCCGCCCCAGAATTGACGACCAGTGTCCATCCTGGCTGCTCTGAACTTTGGTGTGTTCACCTGAAGGATCTCAGAGGTCATTTGGCATCAATAGCATAGGTTGCTCTTATCCTCCTGTAGGACTTTGAGGTATTCTATTGCATGAATAGAAATTCTGTATAAATCTTCTGCTAATGGAAAAGTGTGGCATAGATTTTATTCTACCAACAGACACACTGCAACGAATAATCTTGTATCTGCTTCAGCAAGTGTATGCCTATGTCTGTGGGATCTGTTCCTAAATGCGAAATAGCTGAGTCAAATGTTCTCTTTAATCTTGTGAAATATGGCAAAATTTTTCTCATTCAAGAGGGAGCAAGCTGACATTCCCAAAAGCAAGGCATGAAAGTGTGCATTTTCATCAACCCAGTGTGGAAGGAAACCATGTGATTTTTGCCAATATCAGGTGAAAACTGTTGTGTCCGTATAGTTTTTATTTAGATAAAAATTCACATAACATTAAATTTACCATTTTAGTGATTTTAAATTGTATAATAAAGTGGTGTTTAGAAGGCTCACAATGTTTTTCAACCATCCCACTATCTAATTTCAGAACATTTTAATCACTCAAAAAACACCCTGTAACTTTTGGAGGTAATACCAGAATATTGTCCACAGTGTCAGCACCACTTTATGTCACACTACCAATGTGCCTGGGTTGTAATTTCTCCATTTTTTTCTTTCTTTTTCTTCCTTCCCTTATCTTCCTTTCCTTTCCCTTCCCTTCCCTCCTTCCTTTTTTCTTTTCTTTTAGATCAGAGTCCTTTTCTGTCATCCAGGCTGGAGCACAGTGGCATGATCTCGGTCCACTGCAACCTCCACCTCCCAGGTACAAGCAATTCCTGTGCCTCAACCTCCTGAGTAGCTGGGATTACAGGCACCCACCACCATGCCCGGCTAATTTTTTTTTTTTTTTTTAGTAGAGTAAGGGATTCGCCATGTTGGCCAGGCTGGTCTTGAACTCCTGACCTCAAGTAATCAGCCCATCTTGGTCTCCCAAAGTGCTGAGATTACAGGCATGAGCCACCAGGACTGGCCTCATTTTTCTTTCTTTTTTTCTTTTATTTGAGACAGGGTCTCACGCTGTCACACAGGCTGGAGTGCAGTGGCGCAATCTCAGCTCACTGCAACCTCCACCTCCCGGGTTCAAGCAATTCTCCTTCCTCAGCCTCCTGAGTAGCTGGGATTACAGGCACACACCATCACACCTGGCTAATTTTTGTATTTTTAGTGGAGACGGGGTTTCACCATGTTGTCCAGGCTGGTCTCAAACTCATGACCTCAGGCGATCCACCTGCCTTGGCCTCCCAAAGTGCTGAGGTTACAGGCATGAACCACCGTACCTGGCCTCATTTTTCTTTTTTAAAAGAAGTATAGCCTAATAGTGAGTGTAAGATACCTCATTGTGGATTTAATATGCACTAACATAATGACGAATCTGTTGAGCATATTTTCATGGACTTATTGATTACATCTTTTTGGTAAAAGTTTTATTCAAGTCTTTGGACATTTTCTCATAGGTAATTTGGGTTGTTTGTAATTTGAGCTGTAAATACTCTTTATATATGTTGGATACTAGACCCTTACCAAATCCATGATATGCTAATATATGCTCCCATTTTGTGTTATCATTTCACTTTTCTGATAGTGTCAATCACTAAACCGAGTTTTAAATTTTGATAAAGTTCAACTTATATAACATTTCTCTATCCAACCACTGGACAGTCAGGGCATGGTTTATAGTAAGCCCTGGGCTCATGTGATCTCACATCCAGTGACACAGGAAGGGTCTGGAGAACCTTCCTCTCTTATGTTCAGTAAGAGAGGAAGGATATGGATTGTGGTTTGTCAGGTGAATCAACCTCATCTCACTTTTTTGTAGGGAAATCAGGGCCTGTGACAAAGGTGGTTCTGGTGGCAATCAGGGAGGCAGCTGTGAAGATCCTGCTTCTCTGTCTCTGTCCCATCTTCCTCAGGTGAGCACTGCCCCAGAGGAAGTGTGTGGAGGACAGGAGACATGATGCTGAACTCAGAATCTCAATCATGGAGGTACTCAAACACCTTAAGAGGACCTGGAGCCAGGCAAGGAGCTCAACTGGTGGTGAGAATCCCACATGGTTTATTCATAGTCAGGCCTGTGTCTATCCCAACTGGTAAATATACTGAACACCTACAATGTGCCAGTATTGTTGTAGGTGCCAGGGGATCAGCAGCAGACATAGCCTCAGAAATCTCAGTATTAAGAAGATATTCTGGAGACAAGACAGACACCTTCCATGTGAATTTTAGGATTTTTTTCTAATTATATGAAAAATGACATTGGTATTTTGATAGGGATTACATTGAATCTGTAGATTGGTTTGGGCAGTATGGTCGTTTTAATGGTATTTATTATTCCAATCCATGAGCATGGGATGATCCATTTTTCCATTCATCTGTGTCATCTACAACTTCTTTCATCAGTATTTTGTGCTTTGCCTTGTACTGATCTTTCACCTTCTTGGTTAAATAAACTCCTAGGTATTTTTTTCTGTTGCAATTGAAAACGGGATTGATTTCTTGATTTTTATTCTGTTAGATTACTGTTGGTGTATAGAAGTGCTACTCATTTTTGTACATTGATTTTGTATCCTGAAATTTTACTGAATTTATTTATTAAATCTAGGAGTCTTTTGAAAGAGTCCTTAGGGTTTTCTAAATTTAAGATCATATTGTCAGCAAACAGATATAATTTGACTTCCTCTTTTCCAATGTGGATGCCTTTTGTTTCTTTCTCTTGCCTAATTAATTGCTCTAGCTAGGGCTTTCAATATTAGGTTGAATAGCAGTGATGAGAGTGATCATCCATCCTTGTCTTATTCCAGTTCTTAGGGGAATGCTTTCAGATTTTCCCCATTCAGTATGATGTTGCCTGTGGGTTTGTCATAGACGGCTCTTATTATTTTGAGATACATTTCTTCAATGCCTAGTTTGTTGAGGATTTTTATCATGAAAAGATGTTGGATTTTATCAAAAGTGTTTTCTTTGTCTAGTGAAATGATTATATGGTTTTTGCTTATGATTATCTCAATGTGATGAATCACATTTATTGATTTGCATGTGTGGAGCCCTCCTTGTTTCCCTGGAATAAAACCCACTTGATCATGATGAATTATCTTTTTGATGTGCTGTTGAATTTGGCTTGCTAGTATTTTGTTAAGGATTTTTGCATCTATGTTCATCAGGATACTGGACTGTATTTTTCTTTTTTCATTGTGTACTTGCCAGGTTTTGATACCAGGGTGATAATGGTTTCATAGAATGGGTCAGGGAGGATCCTCTTCTCCTGAATATTTTGGAAGAGTTATTCTTTGTACATTTGGTAGAATTTAACTGTGAAACTAACTGGTCCTGGACTTTTATTTGTTGAGAGATTTTTTTTAATTGTTGATTCAATCTCACTACTTGTCACTGGTTTGTTCAGCATTTCTATTTCTTCCTGATTCAATCTTGGGAGAATCTTATGGTTCTAAGAATTTATGCATTTCCTCAAGGAAACATTTTCTCGATGTTTTGAAACAAAAGATATTATTCTCTCACAGTTCTGGAGGCTAGCAATTTGAAATTAGTAAGGCTGGACAAAAATGAAGGTGTTGGTTGGACTACAACACTCCAGAGACATGAGAGGATTCATCCCTTGCTAATTCCAGATTATTGCGGTGGTGTCATTCCTTGACTTTTGGCCAGACCACTCCTATTTCTGTCTCTGGGCCACATGGCCTTAACTTCTGTATGTATCACTTCTCTCTCTGCTTTTCTCTTATCAGGACTCTTGTGATTAGATTTAGGGGTCAACTGCATAATCCAGGATTTCCACTGGTCAAGATCATTAATTTAATTAAATGTGTAAGAACATCTATAAGGTAACAATACAGGTTCAAGAAACTAAGACTCGGGTTTCTTTGGGGGTCATTATTCAGAGTACTGAGCTGCCATGTGACCTTCTGCCCCCATAGGAGACTGCCATCTGCCCTCCAGACCTTGCCTTCTCTTTATATTATTTTCTCTGTTCTTCCCGGTCCTGACACACTAGTGGGCCAACTCATGTAAAATGTATTTATGGGAATTTTGGCCTACTTATCAATTGTCTTATCAATGTAAAAGATGTTGATAAGACAGCCAAAAGATAAGTTACAGACTAGGTGATAACACCTGAATATAGGTATCTGAGGAAAGACTTGTATCCAGGATATATCAAGGACTCTCAAAAAATAATAATAATAAGTAAACCACAACAAAAAAGGCCCAATTTTATGTAAAACAAAAAGCCACTCAACAACGACAAAAAATAAACACACTTAAACATGGATGAAGGGTATGAATCACACTTCTCAAAAAAATACAGTACTCAAGACCCTCAGCAGAAGCAAATGCCAGCACCACATTTCTTGTACAGCCTGCAGAACCAAAAGCCAAAATATATCTGTTTTCTTTATAAATTACTCAGTCTCAGGTATTCCTCTATAGTAACCCAAGAATGGACTAATACAATGTTTTACCACAATTTTTTTTAAAAGGGAGACAAACCACCTCACCAGAAAAGAAAAACAGATGGCAAACAGGCTCATGAAAACACACTAAAGATCATTTGTCCTTAGGTAATTATGATTCAAAGAATAAGCATGCTTAGGAAGCATTACATACCTAAGAACATAACTAAAAGCAAAACAAAAATAGAAAGAAATTTTTAAATATTCAGATACTATCAAATGCTATCAAGGGTGTAAAACAATTAGAATTCACACCTAACTCCTTGTGGTAATACAAAACGGTGCATCAACTGTGGAGAACAATTTGACAATTTCTTACAAATTTAAACCTAACACTTACCATAGGACCAGGCACCCAACTCCTAGATATTTACCCAAGAGCAATAAAACTTGCAGTCATACACAGAAACCTGCATGTGAGTATTTATAACAACATTATTTCATAGTCACCAAAACCCAAAAACAATGTGAATGCTCCTTAAATGGTAAATGTATACAAAATGGGGGTCCAAGAAACAGTGAGTTATGAATCAACAATGAAAGGGAACAAAGTGTATGTTCATATACTCAATCACATGAATGAACCTCAGAGGCATTGCACCAAGTGAATGAAGCCAGACTTTGGAGGCAACACTGCGTATGATTCCATTTATATGACATTCTGTGAAAAGGCAATACAGTAGGGATGGAGAATATATCAACATTTTTTTCAGGGGCTAAGTGGGAGGGAGGGTTAACGACCAAGAGACAGGAGGAGGGAACGTTTGGGTAATGACACTCTTCAGTGTCTTCACAGTAGTGCTGGGTATATAATTATATACATCTGTCAAACCATATAAAATCGTGTATGATAAAGAGTGAATTCAACTGTATCTAACCTTAATATAAATTTAAAACACAAGATGCCACTACACATTCTCAAAAAATTGTTCAAATATAAAGCAGGACAATACCATACATTGACAAGGGTGTGGAGCTACTGGAATTCTGGCACATGGCTAGGAGGAGTGGTAAAAGTCAAAACCATTTTGGACAACAGTTGGCAATTCTTACTAAGGTTAAACTTATAAATATTAATTAGCCTAACAATTTATCTTCCTGTGTATACCAATTTGTATAAAACCATGTATGTAAAGACTTGTACCTGAATACCTATAGAGAGAAAACTGGAAAATCCTTGTCTATCACTAGGTGAGAAATAAAACATTATAGTATACACATAAATGGAATACTACTTAGCAATATCACATTGTGACATACAGATACGAACAACAACCTGGTTCAGTTTCAAAAAATACTATGCTGGGTGAAAGGATATAGAAACAAATTAGTGCATCCTAGGAAATTTTCAAATAGACTTACTCACAGTGAAAGAGGACATATCAATGGTTGTCCAGCATAGGAAGGGAAGAAAACCCTTGGCATGCTAGAAATGTCTATCTGCAGTGTGGTGAGTATGTGCATTTCAAGTAAGTGTGCTTTATTTCATGTTCACACCTAATTAAGTTCATTAAAGAAACACAGTAAGGCTCACATATTCACATTTAATCTCTGGTCCATGAACATAGTATGACTTACTTTATTGTTAAAACTAAATGTGGCTGGGCACAGTGCCTCACACCTGTAGTCAAAGCACTTTGGAGGCTGAGGTGGGAGGACTGCTTGAACTCAGGAGTTCAAGACCAGCCTGGGGGAACATAGCAAGACCCCATCTCTCCTAAAAATAAAAACAAAAAATTACTGCAGTCTGGTAGTATGTGCCTGTGGTCCCAGCTACTAGGGAGGATGAGGTGGGAAAATCACTTGAGTCTGGAAGGTCAAGGCTGCAGTGAGCTGTGATCATACCAGTGCACCCCGGCCTGGGCAACAGAGCAAGACCCTGTCTTCAAAAAAAAAAAGCACTAAATGTACTGAATTTTCCATTATATGCCACATGCTAAATATCTAAATAACTTACAACAGATATTATTTACTAGAGACTCAGTTATATATCAAATTTATATCTGATATTTATATCTGATATATCAGATATTGTTTACTGGAGAAATTTATGTCAGATATTATTTAATGGGGACTCAATTTGTTATATATCAAATGATGAGGCAGGATGAATGAAGAGTTATCTAGACACTATTGTGTGCAGATATTTGACAAATGTATGATGACAAGTACTAATACTTGAGTACCAGGCATCAAGGGTTTGTTGGATGCATACTACACAGTGATATGGACAAGCATGTGGCTGGACCTAAAGTTTAATTTTCTCTGTACATTCCACTCATGTTGTCTGGAAATATTATGTCTTTGGGCCATATTTAACTGTGAAAAGCAGATTTTTACATGAAGGAAAATGTTAATCCATATCATGAGCCTCCAAAAAAAAAATTGCTTCTGCCCACACCGCACCAAATGGCAGCAAATGGAAAAGAAGTTTCTTCTGCACTGGTTCATAGAACATGTGTTCTCCCTTTTGTTTTATAGGAAGATGCCCATGATTATTATTTTGTAGATGTCATTGACACTGTGCAAATCAGCATACTAGCTGCCAGGGGAAAATTCCAGAGTCATATTTTTTTAAATTCACAATATGTTACACATGGCAAATTCCCCTTTTCACAGCTGTAAAGCCAGACAGTATGTGTGTGTGGTGAGGACAGGAGGCTATGAATAGGGAGCATTTCAAGGGCTGCCTTGAAATCAGGTCAGTGGGATCTCTTCCCAAGCCTCACTTATACACAAAGGTTCACTGTAAGAATTAAATAAAGGGGGGAAGAAACATGAAAGGTGGCTCACCAGTCAAGACAGGTTTTCAAGAAAACAAACTTGAGAGGAGCTTCTGGCCGAGTTAGGTCAGAGGCACACTCTCTTACAGACTAAGAGTTTTTAAGGATTTAGGGTGGGAGAGTTTGTCAGAGCTTTGGACTGCTTCTGTATCTCTTTGTTGTGCTTATCTAGGAAGGAGAGTTGCGTGTCTTCCCATACATCTTTCTGGAGCTACAGGCCTACACCCCGAGCTTCCCTATCTTAGTGCACCTGAAGGGAAAGGAATGTGCTTATTAAGGCCCACCGTTTTACTAGAGCCCATTGTATGAGGGTTAAGTTTGGCAGTTACCCAAGAGACTTTCCCCCCAGCTCTCTCTGTGCCCTAGCTGTCTTACCCGTGTTTTACTGTCTGCTCTTTCTGGCTGCTTGTAGTTAGAAGAGAAGTGATTTCCTTGAAATGCATTAGGCTAGAAAGGGAGCTGGAACTTAAAGTGGTGGTGTTTGTCCAAGATGATGGTGCTTCTGATCTGTCACTCACTATATCTTTAGCGAATGAATAAATAAATAAATGGCTGCCACCTTCAGTTTACCTAGGACTCTTCTTCATTGCCTGCCCCAGACGCTCCCATGGACCCTATAGAATCCTACATCCTGCTGGACCGATCACCTCATGGATCTAGGTGAGGCTGTGACTTAAGCCAGACTGCAGTGACCAGCCCTGGTGTAAACAGTTGTGCACAGAGAAGCACCTCAGAGTGGAAGGACTTCAGACATGGGCATCCCATGCCTCAGATGTCACCAGAGGTACTGGTCTAGGCTCTGGTGCTCCTAGGAGGCAAGAACCAGATTCTGCTCCATTTCCTCTCCTCTCTGGGTGGGTCTCTGGCATCTGTGGCCCATGAGGGATCTGTCCAATCTGTGTGGAGGAAATGAGCTCTGAGTACATGTGGGTCTGAGTTTCCTCTTCTGTGCAGGGTTGAGGTTTCCTGCTCCTCCCCAGCTTCCCATTTGGCCCTGCAGCCCTTCCTCTTCCTCTTCTCTTCTCACACAGGGAGCCCAGGAGATCTCTACCTCAAAGATGTCACTGCTGCTGCTGCTGCCCCTGCTGTGGGCAGGTGAGTGGCTGCGGGGAGAGGGGTTGTGGGGCTGGGCCAAGCTGATCCTCATTTCCCCACAGGGGCCCTGGCTAAGGATTCAGGATTCTGGCTGAAAGTGCAAGACTCAGTGACAGTGCAGGAGGGTTTGTGCGTCCTCGTGCCCTGCACTTTCTCCCTCCCACCCCACTACCTCAGGAATAACCCAGTTCATGGTTACTGGTTCCGGAAAGGAGCCACTGTATCCCTGGACTCTCCAGTGGCCACAAACAACCCAGATCGAGAAGTACAGGAGGAGACCCAGGGCCGATTCCGCCTTCTCGGGGATCCCAGGAAGAACAACTGCTCCCTACGCATTGTAGATGCCAGGAGGAGGGACAATGGTTCATACTTCTTTCGGATAGAGATGGGAAGTACCAAATACAGTTACACATCCACCCAGCTCTCTGTGCATATGACAGGTGAGGCACGGGCTCCAGAAGCAGCCACAAGGGGAGTTGAAGGGTACTGCAGGGCAGGGCTGGGATGGAACCCTGGTACTGGGAGGGGTTTAGGAGTAAAGCCTGTCATGCTTACAGGGGGAACTTGACCAGAGCTTGATCTTCTCTCAGGGCCTCACCTGGACCCTCCCTCCTGATCTTGCATCCCCTGCTTTCTCCTCACCAGACTTGGCCCACAGACCCAATATCCTCATCCCTGGAGCTCTAGACCCTGGCCACTCCAAAAACCTGACTTGCTCTGTGCCCTGGGCCTGTGACCAGGGAACACCCCCCATCTTCTCCTGGATGTCAGCTGCCCCCACCTCCCTGGGCCCCAGGACTACCCACTCCTCGGTGCTCATCATCACCCCACGGCCCCAGGACCATGGCACCAACCTCATTTGTCAGGTGAAGTTCCCTGGAGCTGCTGTGACCACAGAGAGAACCATCCAGTTGAATGTCACCTGTAAGTGCTGGGCCGGGATGCTGGAGTCTCTGAGGGTGCAGGGGAGACAGGATGGGCTGGGGCTGGGGACATTTAGTGTCCTGGAAGCCTGGCCAAGTTTGGGAGCTAGAAGGATATAAGCCCTGTCCCTTCTGCATTTCTGTGGCTTCTGGCAGGAGTAAGGGGATATGTCTACCCTTATTTCATCCCCTACCCCCAAATAAAGGAAATCCTCTCTTCCTCTCCTAGATGCTCCACAGAACCCAACCACTGGTATCTTTCTAGGAGATGGCCCGGGTAGGAAGGAGCCTCCCTGCCCGGGGCTGGTACTGGCATTGAGTGTGTATCAGGTTTGGTCAGATCAGACTTTCTGAGTCAAATGTTCAGAGGCAAGGCCTGTAGTTAGACACAGGTAGACATCAGGCACCTTGGATAAGGATATTTGGAAATGACTAGCAACTTCCTTCTTCCCCATCCAAATAATGCTCTTTATCTCCCTCCTGTCACTGAATGTCTTGGGGTATTTTACTTTATTTTCAGTTGATATATATAATAATAGTACATATTTATGGATTGCATAATGATGTTTCAATACTAATAACGTATAGTAACCAGATCAGGGTAATGGCATATCCCTCATCTTGAACATTTATCATTTCATTATATTGGAAACATTCAATTTCCTCTTTCTAGCTATTTGAAACTATGTATTATTGTTAACCATAGTCATCCTGCAGTGGTATAGAACACCAGAACTTATTCTTCCTTTCCAGGTGTAATTTTGTATCCTTTAACAAATCTCTTTCCCTATCATTGTTCCCCTAACCTTCCCAGTCATTATTCTCTGTTCTACTTTTTACTCCTATGAAATCAACTTCTTTCGATTCTGCTTATGAGTGAGAACATGTAGTATTTCACTTTCTGTTCCTGGCTTATTCCATTTAACAAAATGTCCTCTAGCTCAAACCAAGTTATAGTGAATAACAAGATTTCTTTATTTTTTAGGGCGGAATGATAATCCACTATGTATATGCCACATTTTCTTTATTCATTCATCTGTTGTTGGACACCTAGGTTGATTTCATATCTTCCTATTGTGGCTAGTGCTGTGATAAACATGGAGGTACAGACATTTCTTCAATATACTGATTTCCTTTTCTTTGTATAAATGCCCAGTAGTAGAATTGCTGGATCATATGGTAGCTCCATTTGTAGTTTTTTGAGAAACTTACATACTCTTCACCATATTGGTTATATTAGTTTACATTCAGGCCAAAAAGTATATAAGAGTTCCCACTTCTCTACATCCTCAACAGCATTTGTTAATTTTCATCTTTTTATCACAGTCCTCCCAACTGGGGTGATGTTACCTCATTGTGGTTTTTATTTGCGTTTCCCTGTTGATTGGTGATGTTAAAAATTGTTTATATATTTGTTAGCCATCTGTATATCATCTCTTCAGAAATGTCTCAGATAATTTACCCATTTTTTAATCAGATTGGGGTTTTCTGAGCCATCAAGATGTATGTGTTCCTCATATATTCTGGATATGAATCACCGGTCAGATGAACAGCTGGCAAATAGTTTCTCCTATTCTGTAGGTGCCTTTTCACTCTGTTGTTTGTTTCCTTTATTGCATACAAGCTTTTTGGCTTGATATCATCTCGTTTATTTACTTTTGCTTTTGTTACTTGTGCTATTGAGGTCTTATTCATAAAATATTTTGCCACACCAATGTCCTAAAGCATTTCCTCTATGTTTTCTTCTAGTACTTTTAAATTTTTGTGTCTTATATTCAGGTCTTTGATCCATTTTGAATTGATTTTTGTACAGGATGAGAGGTGTGAGTCTAGTGGCATTATTCTGCATATGGCACCAGTTTTCCCAGCATCATTTATTGAAGAGACTGCTCTTTCCTCAATGAGTGTTCTTCATGCCTTCATCAAAATTCAGTTTGCTGTAGATAGTGGGTTAATTTCCGTCTTCTCTATTCTGTATCAATGGTCTATGTATCTGCTTTTTGCCAATATCATGCTGTTTGGATTACTGCAGCTTTGTAGTATACTTTGAAATCTGGTAGTGTGATGCCTCCAGCTTTGTTCTTTTTGCTTAGGATTGCTTTGACTATTCAGGCTATTTTTGGTTCCGTGTGAATTTTAAGATTTTTTTTCTAATTCTGTGAAGAATGACATTGGTATTTTGATAGAGCCTGGTTTGAATCTGTAGGTTTATTTAGGTAGTATAGTCATTTCAGCAATATTAATTCATCTGATCCTCAAGTAATGAATGTCTTTCCAGTTGTTTGTATCTTCTTCAATTTATTTCCTCAGTGTTTTGTAGTTTTTCTTGCTGAGGTCGGTCACCTCCTTGGTTAAATTTATTCCTAGGTGTACTTCATTCTCTTATACCTATGATAAATGTGATTGCCTTTTTTATTTATTTTCAGCTAGTTCATTGTCTGTGTGTAGAAATGGAACTGATATTTGTGCAGTGATTTTGTATCCTGCAAATTTACGACATTCATTTGTCAGTTCTAGGAGGTTTTATTTGCTAGAGTCTTTAGGGTTTTTTGGTAGTTTGTTTGTTTTGCTTTGTTTTTCTAAGAGATAGAATTTTATCATGTTGGCCAGACTGGTCTTGAACTCCTGGCCTCAAGCCATCTGCCCACCTTGGCCTCCCAAAGTTCTGGGATTACAGGCATGAGCCACTGCACCTGGCCAAGTCTTTAGGTTTTTGCACGTCATTTGCAGAGACAATTTAACTTCCTCCTTTCCAATTTGGATGGTTTTTATTCTTTTCTCTTGTCTAATTGCTGTGGTAGGACTTTCAGTACTATGTAGAATAAGAGTCATAAAAGTGGACATCCAGTTCCTAGAGGAAAAGCTTTCAGCTTTTCTGTATTCAGTGTGATGTTAGCCACGGGTTTGTCATATATGGCCTTTTTTCTGTTGAGGTACTTTCCTTCTGTACCTAATTTATTGAGAGTTTCTATCATGAAGCAATATTAAATTATATCACATGCTTTTTTTCTGCAACTATTTAGGTGATCATATGGTTTATGTCCTTCATTCCGTTGACATAATGTATCACATTTATTGATTTGCATATGTTGAATCATTCTTGCCTTTTGGGATTAATCCCACTTTATCATGCTGTATTATCATTTTGATGTATTGTTGGATTCCATTTGCTAGTATTTTGTTAAATATTTCTGCATCTATGTTCATCAGGATATTGGCCTGTAGTTTTCTTTTTTTTATTGTCTCCTTTCTGGTTTTGGTGTCATTTGAGAAGAGTTGGGTTTTTTTTTTTTTCTTTAAAGGTTCTGTAAAGTTCAGCACTGAAACCATCTAGCCCTGCAATTTTCTTTGTTGGGGGAACTTTTATTATTCACTCAATCTCATTACTTGTGATTTGTCTGTTGAGGTTTTCTATTTCTTCTTGTTTCAATCTTGGTAGATTATATGTGTTCAGAAACTTACCATTTCTTCTAGACTTTCAAATTTATTGGCATAGTGTTCACAGTAGTGTCTAATGATCTTGTGTATTTCTGTGCTAACCATTGTGACATCTTCTTTTTCACTTGTGATTTTATTCATTTATGTCTTCTGTCTCTTTCTTAGCTAATGATTATCAATTTTATTTATTTTTTCAAAAAGCCAACTTTTTATTTCACTAGTGTATTATTTTTGACTGCTAAGTTTTTTTTCTTTCAGTACTTTGGGTATATTATCCCATTCTCTCCTGGCCTATAATGTTACTGCTGAGAAACTCACTGTTAGTCTAATAAGAATAACCCCATATGTGACTAGACACTTTCACCTTGCTGTTTTTACAATTCTTTACTTGACTTTTGACAATTTGGCATAATGAGCATGGAGAGGACTTGTTTGGGTTGAATATTTTGAGGGTACTTTGAGCTTCCTGGACCCCAATGTCCTTCTAGTTCCCAAGGCTTGGGAAGTCTTCACCTGTTCTTTGACGTAGAATATGTTTTCTACACTTTTTGATTCTCTTCTCCATCTGGAAATCCCATAATGTGAATACTTGCTGGATTGTGTCCCATGAATCCTATAGGGTTTCTTCATTCTATTTTATTCTCTTGTTTTTACCTGCCTGTGTTATTTCAGAAGATCTCTCAAATTCAGAAATTATTTTTTCTGCTTGGCCTAGTCTGTTGGTGAAGCTCTCGATTGCGGTTTTTTATTTCATTTATTGAGTTCTAAGCTGAGGATTTCTGCTTGGATATGATACCTGTCTTTCTGTTAAATTTCTCTTTCAAGTCATGAATTAAAACAATGGGGCACAGGTGTCCCACTACTTGGCTGACCTGGGGCACGTCTGCTGGAGGTGCCAACATGGCTGTTTTGCAGGGCCAGGATGAAGTTGAATGACTTCTTGGCTGGCCTAGGTGTGTTTTTGCTAGGAGCAGCACTCAGAGCTTTATCTAGGGTTTGGGATATGGGTGTACGACTGCTCAGCTGGCCTAGAAGGTGTACCAGCCGGTGGTAGACCATGGGGCTGTTTCTCGGGACTAGAAGGCAAGCACATAGCTGCTCAATCTGCCTGGGGTTATGTCTACAGGGCTGGCCCACAAGGCTGTTTCTCGGGCCCTAATTGTGGGAGAGTGGCCTTTGGGCAGGCCAGAGGCATGTTTCTCAGGGTCTGTGTGTGGGCACATAACCTCTCCCCTAGCCCGGGGATGTATCAGCTCTTTGTTAGCTCAGGGGCCTCTCCCATTCAGGGGAGTGTGCACAGTAGCTTGGCCAACTCAATTATGTATTCACCTTGAGTGGGACTATACGACTATTCCTCCAGCTGGAGTTACAGGTAGCAGGGGTTGGTTTCCCTGCTGATCAGGACCAGAGTCACAGCCAGTCCTGGGCTCAGGCTCCATGCAGATCTAATTGTGGTATTCAGCCACCAGTGCAGGTTTAGGGGAATGAAGATGTAGTTACAATGATGAAGAGGTGCATGGCCACTGGCCCCCAGAGGAGGTATACTCCAGAGATGGCTGTGGTCTCAAGGTGGTGCTATGTTGTAGCAGCTTGCCCACAGGGGTTGGTTATGGAGTTGGGAGTGCACACCATGTGCTCCTAATCCAGAACCATGCAGCTGCATGAATTCCTGGCAGCTCTTCCAACTGTGCTCAGAACTTGTGAGGACTGTAGGATTCACCTGTAGTAAGGAATGTAGGGATCCACAGTGGCAGTGGGGATTGGTTGGATTCTTCTGTTTATTATTTCCCTATAAGGGGAAATCCTTCTTGTCTCTGGGACAAACCAATCTGGGCTGGGGAGATGGAGCTGCAAAGGCTGGGTGCCTCCATGCTGCCCTCTTGGACTTCCAGTTACCACAGGTAATTCTCCATTGCCCTGCTATACTACAGCACTCTCCTTTTGACATGCCACTCAAATCTTTGCTGTTTATTCATTGCCTTGGTCCTTTCCTGTCCGGGGGCCACAGGGGAGGATGAGCTCCAGGTACCTCTGGTCAGCCATTTTGCTTCAATGGGGGCATTTTTAATAGGTTTTATTTTTTAGAGTAGTGTTAATTTCAGAGCAAAATTGAGTGGACTCTTCTAGTCACTGGACATCTTGGGAGCATTTTTAAATGAACTTTATTTTTCACGTGTAAAGTTCACAGAAGAAATTGAGCAGAAGGTACAAAGACTTCCCATATACCCTCTACCCCCACACATAGTCTCCCCCACTGTCAGCACCCCTCATTATAGTGATACATTTGTTACAATCAATAAACCTACACTGACATAGCATTGTCAACCGAAGCCCATAGTTTGCATTAGGGTTCACTCCTGGTGTTGTACATTTTACAGGCTTTTAAAAAATGTATAATGACATGAATCTATCATAAAAGTATCATATAGAATAATCACACTTCCCTAAAAACCTCTTTAGGGTACTTTTTTTCTACTGTCCATAACTCAACCCTTAGCCATGACCTTTGTCCAAAGACCAATGCTCTCTCCACTGCTGTATTCCAATTAATAATGGCATCTGGTCCCTCACTGGACAGTAAGCTCAGTGAAGGCAGGAATAGTTCCCTCAATAGTGGTCACCAAACTGTTGACAGATGATGCTCAGAGACATGCCTCTGACTCTGAGTGCTGGGATCTAGGAGGTACAGACAGGCAGGTCCGGGAGAACTGCCTGGGTCTGACCTGAGAATCACCTCCCTAACCCACCCTGCTTCCAGGCTCTTCTGAAGGCCAAAAGGACCAAATTTGACCCTGAGTGACGGGGTCAGTGGGAAGAAATAAGAGACAAGGCCTATCAGCATTCCAGTGCTTGTGCTCTCAATCTCTCTCTTTCTCCTTCTCTCTCTCTCTCTCTCTCTCTCTCTCTCTCTCTCTCTCTCTCTCTCTCTCCACGCCACCCCAAAGAGGCTCAGAGCTTCACAGTACTTCAGTGGCTATTTCTGAGGTCCATTTCAGAGAAATCCAGGATGGAGAGGAATCTGGGTGCTGGAAGAGATGGTGTTTTGTGCACCAGAGAGAGAGGGCTGAACAAGAGGTGTTAGGTGCACTGTGTGCTTCATCTCACGGTCATAGTCAATATTGATGTCCCATGATAAGTGGGAAGATCTAGGAGCTGAATCCCATTTTGGAGATGAAGGCACCCTCTCTACATGCTAGAGAGCATGGGAGGAGACACATACCTATTTAGCAAGATTAGAGTTCACCCTAAGTCTTTTTTGTCTGCAGGGGAACAAGAGACCAGAGCAGGAGTGGTTCAGGGGGCCATCGGGGGAGCTGGTGTCACAGCCCTGCTCATTCTTTGTCTCTGCCTCATCTTCTTCGTGTGAGCATTTTCTCTGGGTCAGGTGTGGGCCAGAGGTGAAGAGGATGGACCTGGTGTAGAAGGGTCCTGGAGGGGCTGTGAGGGCTGGAGAAAGGGCAGGGAGTGTGGTGGTGTACAGAATCCAACCTGTAGCCACTGGGCTAGGCATGGGTCTATTCTAGGCCCCTGGTCTCAGATGTCTAAGAAGTGGGAGGTAGAAGGAGACCTTGTTACTAAGTCTTTTTGAAGGCTCATGGATTAATCCCACCCCTTACCTGCCAAAGTCCCTCATTCTAGACTCAAAACAATGCCCTTACAGCCTGAGAAAACCAGGCTCAAAAACCCTGGTGTCTCCCATCAGAGTGAAGATCCACAGGAGGAAAGCAGCCAGGACAGCATTGGGCAAAAATGACACCTACCCTGCCAGAGGGCCAGCCTCCCTGGTGAGTGATGGGGTATCCTGACATCCAGTCTGCCCTGAAGACACCTCCTCCCAAGATGGCCCTCAGACATACCACATTCAGCATTTCCAGAACTGAGCTCATCGTCTTTCCTCCTGTTTAACATTGTAGGTTTTAATTTTATTCAGGTATGTTGAGGCCAACAGATCAGGAGACAATGGCCACTGGAAAGGTAGTTTCTTATTCACCATTCCCAAGAGGAGAGGGCACACACCATGCAAAGCCATGTAGAGAAGTACCAGGATCAGTCAGGAAGCAGAGGGGGCAAAGGGAAAATGGGACAAGAGCTTTTATTGTGGCTTTCATGGAAAAGAATGGGCAAGACAGGATAAGCATGCTAGCCAGGTTTACAATTGGCTACCTTGAACAATTTCAGCAGACTCTGGAGTATGGTGTTTGTCTCTAGTTGTTTCATATGTGGCCCTGGGTTAATTAGGGCTGGAGGATTGTGGCCTAGAGTGGAAGACTCAATAAAAGATCCAGTCGGTAGTGTGGGCTTTAGATTGACTGGTTTACACATGAAAGGTACACTCGTAGGCAAGTCCTTCATCATCTCTAGAATCTATCCCTGGGCGAGGCAGCCTCTTGAGGGTCAGCAATGACCCAGATGTCAAAACATCAGAAACACTTGGTTGACACAACCCTAAACATATTTCTCTTAATGGGTTCTCCATCTCACTGATGGCACTCTTGTTCCCATTAACCAACCACAGACCTGGCCCCCTCCTGCCCCAGTTCTCCATCTCTTCTTCCTGTGCCAGTATGCTACGATGCATGTCTGAGCTTCCTCTGAACACGGCTTAACACAACCACTCCTTCTGAGCCAAGATACCCTCCCACTCCTTATTCTGCTACAGCCTTATCTCCCATTTCTCCTCTCCAGAACACTAGCATTAGCTCCCTAAAAGGTCATTGTCTCATCATTCCCAAGTTTGAAATGCTCTGCTTCTCCACACTGCTGAAAGACCGGCATTCCAACAACTTGGTCTGGTATTTGGGGCAGGAAAACCAGAATCACCATCAGGACTCCCCCAACATTAGCCACTCAGTCACCTCAAGCAGAGCAAGGTTTTTCATCTCAGAATCATTGCTGAGCTGTCGTCCCCTCCTCCTCATATTCCTAATAGCTACCTGCCCAACTCCAGTGCATCCTTCAAGCTCTGATTTTTTTTAATTTATTTAACTCTGACTAAAGTGAACACCACAGTAAAGTTTTTGAACACAGGGTCAATAAGCACCCATTCATTCTGCAAATATCTATATAATCCCATTTGCCAATTGTTCTGGTCCTTGTGCCAGTTTTATAAACACGTATTTTACAAATATAAAATATTCCTCCTATCAGGGGTTTACATCAATTGGTGAAAGGTATGAAAATAATGAACAAATAAGTAGTGCAAATATACATGAAATAGGCATGAAGTAAGTGCTATGGAAAGAAATGAAATAGGAGAATGGATTGGACAGTCCTAAAGGCCAAAGCGTAGCCTTTGAGCAAACACCTCCAGGAAGAAAAGGAGTACAGTGCAAGCACTAGAGAATCATTGAGGGAGCAGCAAGGCTCTGAGGCTGGAGCACAGCTGAATGTTTTAGAGAAACAACAGTTAAGACGGTGTGGATAAGTCAGAGTTACATGTCGGGTGTGGGCTGTGGACTGAGCAACTGCAGGTAGGAAATGAAGTTAAAGAGACAGAGAAGCTGCAAATATTGCAGGGTCCTAAGTTCATCATAGTTATTTATGCATTTAGAGCAGAAGAGTGACATGAACAGACACTCATTTTAGTGGGAGTCACTCTGGCTGCTCCATGACAAATTCTAGTACACAGAACAGAAAAGAAGACACCAGAATAGAGGATTACACAGAAAATCAAACCAAGAGATGACTGACTTGGATTTAGTTCCAAGTAAGAATGATGAATCTGATGTAGAGAAATTGGGTTCCAGATATACCTTGAAGGTGGAGTCAACAATATTTGTAAATGGAGTGATAGAGTGCATGCAAGGCTGAGCAAAGATAGCTCACGACCTCTGCTTGATAGCTGTCTCAGATGTCACAGGAGGGTCCACAGATGTCATGAATGCCTAAGAAGACTCCATAGATTTCATAGATGTCTACAGATGCCAAATAATGATGTTCATGTGATTTACTCAGAATTCAAACTTAAAAAATAAAATTGCCAATGATTAAAATTGCCAACCCTGAAGGAGAAGTGTATTTTCAAGTGTACAGCAAACATCATTTTGGTTACTGTAAGTTTCAGGTGCCTCTGAGACATCCAAGTGGAAATGACAAGTAGCAGGCAAGTGTCTGGAGCTCAGAAGAGGGGTCCCTATGGGAGACACAGAGGTTGGGGGCTTCCATAGCAACATCCAATAGTGGATGAATCCACAAAGAGAAGGGGACCACACCCCTGGAACCCCCCAGCATTTAATGTTAGGGAGATGAGGTGTAAATGGTGAGAAAGCTGAGAATGAGTGGCAACTGGGTAGGAGCCAATGACCAAGAAAGTGCAGGCTCTAGTGTTGGTGGCCAAGGGGAGATGGAGCTTCATGGAGGAGAGATTGGTCATTTGTTTCAAGTGCTGGTAAGTCTGGTAAGACAGAGTCTGAGAAATGACTATTTGCATGTAGCTAAGTAGTACGACAGCAAAGCAGATCTGATTTTCTGCTGGAGGAAGATCTCTTGACTAGAGAGAGTTCAAGAGAGAATGGGAGGAAAGGAAGCAGAAACTGTGAGTTGAAGGACTCTTTTGAAAAACACTGCACCATATCTAGAACCAAGAAATGGGCCTGCAGAAGAAAATGCCATTTCTCCAGCATCTGCTCTTGTGTCTCCAATGATATATGTCCCCTGTTTGTGTAGGGCTTTGCACCCCTTGAGCTAACTGCCTTCCCATGGCTTCGCCTACCGCCCTGTGAGCTCCACAGGACTAGGCTGGGTTTTATTAGTCCTCCATCATTCTACTTTCTCCCGTTCAGCTACACACTGTCACAGTTTGCAAATACCAGTCTGTTTCTGTCTTCCTCCCTTGCAGTAGTAGAAATCACAGGGCCCCTGCTCTGCTTTCTTCCCTTCTGAGTATCCAGTGCCCAGCACATTGGAGGTCCCAAAGATCTGGGACTGAGTTTAGGGTCAAGAGATGTGTGACCTTGGGAATTACCCTAAGCTCTCTGAGACCTAGTTTCCTGGTCTGTGAAATGGATAAAATCATAGATGCTAAAGATGATGTCAGTGTAGCTGCCCAGAATTTGTCCACATTGGTCTGTGTGTGTATTCAAGAGAACAGGGAATCAACACATGCTATGAGTGTTAAATAATGAATAAGTGGGGCCTTAATAAACATTTGGGGAAAGAATGAAACGGTGAATAAATGTTCTGTCAGAGTCAAATTTACTTCACTGACCCTCTCTACCTTCTCCCGGTCCCCCTCTTCACTGCCCTGCTCTAACCCCCTTCTTTTCTCTCCATAAGGAACACCAGAGGAAATCCAAGTTACATGGCCCCACTGAAACCTCAAGCTGTTCAGTGGCCGCCCCTACTGTGGGGATGGACGAGGAGCTGCATTATGCTTCCTTCAGCTTTCATGGGACGAATCCTTCCAAGGACACTTCCACTGAATACTCAGAGGTCAGGACCCATTGAGGAACACACAAGAGCACTGGGCTCAGCTAGAAGATCCACATCCTCTACGGGTTGGGGACCAAAGGCTAATTCTTGGAGATTTAACACCCTACAGGCAATGGGTTTATAGACATTATGTGAGTTTCCTGCTACAGTGTCATCATCTTAGACTTTGTCATTAGAGAGTGCTGGAATCAAATCTGTGCTCCTTTATTTCCTAAGTGTATGATATCACACAAGCTCCTTAACCTTCCATGTCTCCATTTCCTTCTCTGTGAAATAGGTGCAAGAAGTCCTATCTCACAGGGATCCTGGGAGCATTAGATAAAAGTACGCATGAAAAATGCCAGTCCTGGTGCAGTGAGAGTTTGGCACATACTGGTTCCTTCCCCCTTGAATGGAAGGCATTAGTGACCTTTGATCCCTAAAATTATATCAGCAACATGTCCATTGTACTTGCTGGTCAAAACACCACCATACATGTCTTCCCTGACTTGCCCTCCAACATCATCTCTCTCCACTCCTGAATCTTCCCTTTCTATCCCACCTGTCTCCTACTCGGATTTCCACTTTCTTTATGTTCTGCTACAAGGAAAATCACATATTAGCATTTGGGGAATTTTCTAAAACTCAGAGCTGACCATAGTCAAAATACTTCCCTAGATCCCCAGCCCACAAGAACGATATCCTAATGTGACATTCTAAGTCAGAAATGGTCAACCAGTATTAGCAAAGGGCCAGATAGTAAACATGTTCAGTTTTGCAAGCAAAATCGTCTCTGTTGCAACTATTAAACTCTGCCATTGTAGCACCAAAGCAGCCACGGACAATCTGCAAATGAACTATATGGCTGTGTTACAACAAAATGCTATTTATAAAAACAGGCAGCCCACATGCTATAGTATGCTGACCTCTATTCTATGTTGCTCTGAATCTCACCCAGTCTACTCTTCCATTGCCACATCCTACACTCTTTGGACCCCATTCTGATGTATTCCTCCCTATCTGTTTGCATCCATATCCCTCCTCCAGGAAAGGCTGTCACCATGTCATTATTGGTCTAACATCTTATCCTTCCAAGTGACCTCGAAGGTAGATGTACAAATTGAGATGGCAGAAAGCAGCTCACAATCATCCTCCTAAAAAGTCTAATTTAAAAGATAAAAATCAGTTTAAGAAAACCAGCCCCAAATTCATCAGCAGCACCCAAACCATGAGAGGGGTGAAAGCATTATGCCATAAGCTCATAATGACCCTTAGATAAACAAATGGAAGATTCTGGTGTTGCTTAAAACAATGTGTGGGCCTGGTACAGTGGCTCATACCTGTAATGCCAACACTTTGGGAGACTTAGGCAGGCGGATCACTTGAGGCCAGGAGTTTGAGACCAGCCTGGCCAACATAGTGAAACTTCGTCTCTACTAACAATACAAAATGTAGCTGGGCGTGGTGGTACATGCCTGTAATCCCAGCTGCTCAGGAGGCTGAGGCGTGAGAATCACTTGAACCTGGGAGGCAAGGTTGCAGTGAGCCAAGATCTCGCCACTACACTCCAGCCTGGGGGACAGAGCATCTGTATCAAAAAAAAAAAAAAAAAGGAAAAAAAAAAGTTTGATACCTAAACCCCGCTCCCTTATCCCAGAAGTGACTCCCTTATCCCTGAGTCACATATCTTTCTATGGTCATAACAGACTGGTGATACCAATCAACCTATTACACCATGAAAAGTTGACAGACTTCTGGACCAGACAAGATAATGTCGACTCATTTTGTTCCTGTTCCTCCCCTCTAAGCGCAGCTATAAATCCTGCAAATGGTCCAAGAGACACCAAAAGAGAACTCTGATTAGGGGTAAGAAGAAGGTGACTACTTTCGGACCCCAGGACTGGAGGAACAACACAGAGGCCAGGTGTCTTGCATCTCCCCTCATCTGAGAAAGGATACCCTGACCCACCATTTCCCAGCCCCTAATCCAGCAGCAGAAGGCAGGTAGGTGAGCTCCTTAGGTTCACCCTCTTCTGGGTGAAAGGGGAGTCCCTCAACATCAGGCGAGTCCCACATCACCAGAAAAGGGGATCAGTTTGAGCCAAAAATAAGTGGCCATGAAGTGCTATCCTTCCCCATTAGGCCTAAGACTCTCCTCTTCTACTCAGTGACACTGGGACTGGTGGGCAGAACTGGAGAAAATGATCGAATCAGAAAGTCTAATTTTCTCCTTTATCAAATGTGAAGTCTACCCCTTCACCTCCAGAGCTGTGTGTGTGTGTGTGTGTGTGTGTGTGCGCGCGCGCGCGCGCGCACATGCGTGTCTGGTATGAAGCAAGATATTTAAAGAAACAGTGAAGAGATCAGTAGACAGAGGGGTTTAGCAAGCACATCCTCCTTCCCTGTGGCTAAGCCAGGAGAGGCAGATAGACAGACATTGTTCTTAGGAGGGACATTGTCAGGAAATAGGAGTAGGAAAAGGAGCCAGAGAGGTGAGCCCAGCACCATCCACTCCTGATTGTCTGCCCCACCCCAGACCCCATCCATCCCACTAAAGCAGGTCTGGATGCTTCCCACCCCTTTGCCTTCCTGGGCTAGGACTAAGACCCCAACCTCTGGGGTCAAGCCCTTCTGCAGAGTTGGGAAGTATCTGAGTTCAAATTGTCACAGACAGTGACAGCTCCCCTGCCTGGGTCTTCTCAGAGGCCAGAGTGTCTTCTGGTGGGTAGAGGTATGGGGCAGAACCTTGATCAGACTCCAGTGCAGAGGTAGCAGGAGCCCAGGGAAGGGTCTGGTGACATCCTAGGTTGATGCAGCTGGTGAGGGGTGTTTGAGACCCTCTAGGGTGTGCTTTCATCCTCAGACTTGGGCTTCTCACTCCATATGGGCATTAACTAGAGATTGGTACAACTCTGGGACTAGGATGGGATACATGGGTATTCCCAGTACTTAAATGGGAATAACAAAGCTGGTTTCTGGGAATCTTTGGTGAGAAAGTATTAATCATTCACAGAAAATCCTCTCGGCATTTTACAGCTATTACAAGACCTTGAGAGAAATAAGATTCCTTTTTAATATTGTAGATGTCCTCTCACTCGGCCTCAGTAACTTCCTGGATGCTATTTTTCTTTATCCAACTGGGTTGATTGTCACTTTTTCAATCTGGGACAGTATTTTCCTTTTCCTACAGTTTCTTTCTTGCCCAGGCTACACTGAGCCCCAGAGTCATGAAGAGGCAGGAAGCTTGGGCTCTGCTGGTAGAGCTCTGAGACCTATAAACAGGAACTTCATGCCCTTCTAACATACCTATGTGCCTTGTTTTCTGGTCCCCACTCTGCTCACGAGTGCCTACACTGGGGCTGGCTCTCTCCTCACCTATGGCCTCTCATGATCTATTGCACCAGTTCATCAGGCCCTTCCCCATAATAACTCCTTATCTGAATCCCCCAAACCCCAGAATGCAGCTCACTAGCTGGTCATCCCCAGAGCCAGCCTTTTCAGGCCTCTGACATCACTACTGGTCTTACTAGCAAGGTTAGAGGCCACTAGAGAACGAGGGATGGGTTCCTTTCTCCCTCAGGACGAAGATGATCGTGGACATCGGAGCCTGAAGGGAAGGGCCAAACATGAGGACACTATGGTCGCTGATTCCCAAACACTCTTCCCTCCTAACTCACAGGAAAGATACATGGACAATATGGGACAATTCTATTCTTCAGTGTGTTGTCTATGAACTTTATCCCTGAGCAAGTTGTATTTGACCATGCACGCATAGACACACACACCATAGGTTGCCCCTAAAGTTACACAGACACACATGCACAATTCAGACATGCACACACAGAGACCACACACAGAGATACACAAATACACACATGCTCAAACGCAGAGACCACAGACACATACACTGACACCTCAGATATGTATGTACACATACACACACCAGATACAGAAACGCATACCTTATACATAAATACAGAGACCACGACCAGACATAAACATACCCAGACACACATACACAACTCAGATATGCACCCAAAGAACACTGACACACATATAAATACACATATATAGATACAGACACATACAAATTCAATTACACACAACTCAGATGTACACACACTTCTAACACACATATAGGCTGCAGGTACACACACACACACACAGACACACATACACCATAGATACCAAGGACACTCATGCATTCACACTACAGACACACAAAATGGGACATCAGCCATCCAGGGTCCTGGAATGGCTCCTCCCATGGGACTTTGCCTTTGGGAAGACTGGAGCTGTGGTTCTCAGGCCAACAACATCCAATGTCCCAGCAAGAGAGAAAGAACAGGAATGCCCATGATGCTTGGCAACCACTTTCTGCCATTTGAGTGGTCTTTTATTTCTCAATACCCAGCTCCCCTGCCCACTGATGTCACAATGCACTTGTCCCTACTGCCCAGGGCCCAGCAGAAGTCCCTGGCCTCATAACCCTGGGTGATGGCCCATGCCTGGAGCAGCAGTTGCATCCACACTCAAACTACTGCAGAATGGACAAAACCGTTGAGCTTTCTCGGGAAGGTGGGAACATCTCTGGGTCTCAGGAAAGACAGACATGAAACCAAATCAGGTGAAAAGGGAAGTGAGCTCACCTGAGAGGATGAGGGGGTAGAAGAGCCGGGGGGAAAGACAAGTAGACTTTGAGGTTACAGGATAGCACAGGAGGCCCACGTGCACCCCTAAGTAGCTTCTGCCCCTAAAGTTCCTTCCCTTGGTCCTGCTCTGAGAATCCCATAGAGATGTGAGTGGACTCACAGGAAATACTGGGAGTCCCTTGGGAGTGTCTGGAAAGTCCTTCCCTGCACCCGTCTCAGCCCCCATGAAACATCGCTTTGCATCTTCCAGCTCCTCCTGCCCAGAATCCGGGCTGCTGGAGGAAGCTCCCAGGGGCGGGGGTAGGGGGGGGGGGGGGGTCTTCCTGGGGACTTGTATGCTGATGAGGGGACCTGGCGAGAGGGAACAAGAGTCCCTTGCGTGGACATCAGAGAGTTCTGTTGGCTGTAGAGCCATCTGGTGACTCAGACACCACCCCCTTCCCAAAAGGGACGGAGGGAGAGGGGGACGAAGAGAGAGAGGAGCAGGAGACACAGGGAAGAGGTTCAAACCCGGATTTCCTTAGACCCCGCAGCAGAGAGGATGAAGGACATGTCTGAGGCCAAAGAGGCCAAGTCAGTGATTGGGTCATGGATGACTGACATACAGACTGGGTCTTCAGGGAACCCAGTGACTCACAGCGTGAACCCGACTAGCTGGTCTAGACAGGAGGTGACATGTGACTAACGACTGGGTGCCTTACAGGGGACCGAGCTCCTCAGAGGCCGACTGGCGCGAGCTTAGCTAACTGCGGGCCGGGGCAGGCCGTGGGGGCGGTTACCTGATTGTCTGAGGTGATGACCGCTCGGGCTGGGCAGGTGATCGGCGTGGTGGAGGCTTCCGGTGACTCTGAAGTTCCGCGTTCTCGCCTCAGGACTGATCCAGAATTGGCTTTGGACCCCGCAAGGGGCTCGGGGGCCTCGCAGGCCTGAGGGCGGCCCAAGGATCTACTGACTGAGGGATTCTGGACTGACAGGGGAGCTCCGCTTTCCTGGAAGCCGACTTTGCAAAGTCTCAATACGGGTATCGTATGGAGGACTGCCCGGGGAGCCCACAGGCCACGCACGGCGGGGACGCCAGGCATACTCTGTCACCAGCTGGGAAGGCAGGGTGAAGGCTTCACTGTTGACCTGGGTTCAGCCCACTTGCCTCATGCCTGGCCACCAATCAGTAGTTTGAAACTTTCTCTGCAGCCAATCAGTGAGACAGATAGAGCTTTCCCCTATGGGCACGTTCCTCGGGAGCTGACGCACAGTCGCCAGAGCCAATCAGAAGCTGAAGGTGTAAGTCTCTCCTCCCACTTCCGTTTCCAAGAGCTCTTAAGGGCTTAAGCCAATCAGCAGCCAAGGGCGGTGTCAGGCACGTTTGGGCACCAATTTCTTCTCAGCGAGGCCTTTCCTGAGCAAGTTCATAAAACCAAGCTCCTCATCAGCCCTGAGGACTCTGTTCGTCCTGATGAAATCTGCTTTATTTTCTCACACTTTACCCACTGCACACTTTCAAAACACTTTTTGCTATTCAACAATATTTTTGTGACCGTCACACTAGGATACAGCCTCACTGCAGGCAGAGCTTTGCCTGTTTTTTCTCACCCCTGTTTCCCTCACGGCCTTCAGCTGTGCCCTCCTCGCTGCTTTGGGATGAACTTGCCTTTCAGGCAGCCCTGCCCATCTCTCACTTCCCAGCTCACCTGTCCCACCTGCCCGCAGAGTCTCACCCCCTCTGATGGCTTCCCACAGCCCCGTACTCCCTGCTGGCTCAGCCTGGACCCCGCCAGGCTGTGCCTGCCTCTGTCTCCCCTGCCCATGGTGGTGGGGTGCCCCTCCAGGTCTGCCTCGCCCAGCCCAGACCCCCAGGTGGCTTCGCCCCACAGATGGGAAGCTACTATCCAGGGTGAATGGGGCAGTGAAGGCATGACCGGCTGAGGGACCTGCCCCGTCCTGGGGAGCAAGGGTTAGTGTAGGTGGAGGCGACAGCCCTGCAGATGCCAGAGGTGGCGCAGGAGCAGCACAGGTTTCCTCTGGTTACAAACGACTCCTAGGTGCAAACCTAGCAGAAATGCATACAAATTTTCTTCAAATATACACAAGAATGTTCATAGCAGCCCTAATTGTAATGGCTGAACATAAAACCTACCTAATACCAATCAACAGTAATACAGATAAATTGTGGTGAAAGAAGCAGATAATAACTCCACACAACATATATGAATCCTAGAAATATAATGTTGAGTGAAAGAACCCAGATACAAAAAGTACATGCTATGTGACGTACTTGATATAAGGTTTAGAAACATGCAAAACTAATCTTTGGTGTTCAAAGTCCAGATACTGGTGACCAGTGGGGCAGAGGTGAGGAGTGATGGACAGTAACGATTAGAAGGGGGCATTAGGGAGTTCTGGGAGGTTCTGGTAAGTATCTGTTCTTTGGGGTTTTTTGTTTGTTTGTTTTTGTTTTGTTCTTGAGACAGAATCTCTCTGTCACCCAGGCTGGAATGCAGCGACGCCATCATGACTCACTGCGACCTTGACCTCACTGGTTCAAGCCATCCTTTCATGGCAGCCTGCAGAGTAGCTAGGACTACAGGCATGTACCATCATGCTTGGCTAATTTTTAAATTTTGTGTAGGGACATGGTCTCCCCATGTTGGCCAGGTTGGTTTTGAACTCCTGGGCTCAAGTGATCCTCCTGCCTCAGCCTCCCAAAGTGCTGGAACTACAGGCATGAGCCACTGCTCCTAGCCCATGATCTGTTTGTTGATCTGGCTACTAGTTGCTCAGATGTCATCATTCCATGAAAATCCTTTTAGTAAAACACTTGTGACGTGTTCCCTTTTCTATAGGAATGTTACTCTTTAATCAAATTTACATTAATATTTTTATAAGATTATCATTGTTTAATAACTAGTTCTGATCTCCAAGCTTCTCCAGGTCAAGAACCGTACTATGTCCAGTCCCGTATTTTTACAGACCAGCTTTGGACACAGCACATGAAGTGTACTCAGTAAATCTTTGAAATGACCTGAACTCAATCCAGGTGGGAACTACAAGGCTGGACTCTGCTGAGGGCTCACAAGTTACGTTTCCAGCCCAGGCTTCTCTCCTAAGCTCTAATCTCCTATGTTCTCCTGCACATCTCTCCCCGAATGACCCACAGGCTTTTAATGCACCCCAAATTGGACTCATCTTTCCTTAAGCCAGGTTGTCTTCCAGGTTTCCCATCCAGAGGTGTGAGGATTCCCATCTGCAGTCATGGCAGCTGGTACTCAAGGCCTGGGTGTCTTAGTTTGTTTGGGTTGCTATAACCAACTACCATAAACTGGGTGGCTTATAAACAATAGAAATTTATTTCTCACAGTTCTAGAAGCTAGAAAGTCCAAGATCAAAGGACCAGCAGATTCCATGTCTGATGAGGGCTCATTCTCTGATTCATAGACAATGCCTTCTTGCTGTGTCCTCACATGGCTGAAAGGCAGGGAAGGGAGATCACTGTGGTTGCTTCTATAAGGGCACTAATCCCATTCATGAGGGCCCCACCCTCATGACCTAATCACCTCCCAAAGGCCCCACCTTCAAATACCATCACACTGGCAATTAGGCTTCAACATATGAATATGGGGGGTGGGGGGATACAAGTATTCATTCTATCTCATTGAGCAAGGAGAGCATCACATGACTGTGCGTAGTTCTAACCTCCCTCCAAGGCACAATTACTGGCCTACACTCATGGTTTCTTGTGAAACAGTTCTCCTTCCCTTCTCTAATCTCTCAGATCACAATTTAGGCTACTCTCTGCCTGTTCCTCTAAATGGTCACTGTTTGAACTACTTCCTGATTCTGGTGAGTTTACATCTCCTCCTCCTCCCTTCTCCTGGCTTTGTCTCCTCTGGGGGCTGTGAGCTCCACTGGCCAGAGTATGAAATACCTCAAGGACCAAGTACAAGGTCTTCTCCAGCATGAAGCATCCTTCATCTTCGTGCTACCCTGGGATGAATATGGAACTCCTTCCTCTGGGATCCCACAGGTGGGCCAAGAGAATAAGTAGCCTGACCCTTGGTTTGGTCCAGGAACAAGGGTACATTGGGAGGTGTTGAGCGGCAACTCTAGATTGTACACACAAGATGTCAGTAGCTCCCCAGCCCAGTTTTGACAACTAAGGACTCCAGACACTGCCAGATATCTATCAGGGTGCAAAAAAGCACCCAATTGAGAAACAGTGACTTAGAGCCTTCCTCCTCTGTGTTCACATAGATACTTGAACAAAATGAACTTTGTCTTGTTCTTCTTTTCAAGGTCAACCACGAAACCACTATATTGCCCAATTTCAAACAATTTAGTGCATTTCAGTGTCTTCTTATCACATTTATGAAGAAGGTCTTGAGGAATCCCTAGGTTCTTTCTAATTTCTTTGTTTTCCAAACTTTTCCTGCATGCCTACTATATGCCACATTGATACAGGGAATTAAGAAGAAATTATTTAGGCCCAGAACAAGGGCATGGGAGTCCTTGGTAAGGCTTTTCTTTCTAATGAAAAGCAGACCCAAATTATTGTCTAACAAAGAGCAGCCTGCAAGCTGGGAGCTTGCATGGGTGAATGCCGCCAGGAACTAAGGACTAGACATTTTAAAGATGGCAGCTCCATCTTCCCTTCTCTGCCAGCCACGTGTGCTGTAAGGAGCAGACAAGACTGCAAAATCACCTGGAAAGCCTATTTGCATAAGAAGATTAGGGTGGGATGACAAGCCTTCCTTGTGCACCATGTAAATGTCACATCTGATCGAGGCCAAGGGCAGTGGCTCCTGCCTGTAATGCCAGCACTTTGGGAGGCCAAGGTAAGAGGATCATTTGAGGCCAGGATTCGAAACCAGCCTGGCCAACATAGTGAAAGCCTGTCTCTACTAAAAACACAAAAATTAGCGGTGGGTAGTGGTAGGCACCTGTATCCCAGCTACTTAGGAGGGTGAGGCAGGTGAATCACTTCAGCTCTGGAGGCTGAGGCTGCAGTAAGCTGAGATCGCACCACGCACTCCAGTCTGGGAGACAGAGCAAGACTCCGTCTCAAAAAAAAAACAGACAAAAAACCAAAAAAAGTCATACTTGATGGAACCAATCTATGAGCCCTATGTCAATCAGACACCGCCTCCTCAAACCAGACTATAACATTTGCAAATTCACCACCAGGTGGCCTTTTTTTCCATTCCAAGACCCGTTCCTCTATAGAGGAAGCAGTTTCTCTGTCTCTTCTCTTCTTCCTGCTAAACCTCCGTTCCTAAACTCCTCGTGTGTTTCCGTGTCCTAAATTTTCCTAGCATGTGCCAGTGGAACCCCAGGTTTATACCCCAGGCAACCTAGCCTCTTCAACACCCCCAGGAGCATCAAGAGGAAGAAGACACAGTGCCTGGCTCATGTGAAGAGATAAACTCAGGCACATGAAAATTGTAAAGAGTTTATCTGAGCTGACATTCAAGAATCTGAAATCCAGAAGTGCCAGACCATCCAGTGGTCACACAAGGAAAACTTTTATAAGAAAGATGTCCCTGAAATCAAAACAAAGAAAATAATTTCATTTGGTGAAAGGGGAACAGTAGCCTTAAAGTTTTTAATTAGAGGTCAACTGGTGGTTTCTGATTGGTAGTCTCTACTTAGAGGTTTTTCTAAGTAAGTCTCTACTTAGAGTCGGCCGTTTCCGATTGGTTAAAGCCTGAGTTTCATTTTTCTAGGATATGACCATTCACTTTGAGTTGGGTTTCAATTTGCTTACCTGGAAACAAAGGGTCTGGAACCATCTCAGCCTAATGGCTTCTCAATTAGTTATTTTAGCAATTGGGAGAGCTCAAGTTCATGGGGTTAGAGTTTGGGAAAGGGACAGAAATAGGTAACTTACTAAAACACAGTATGATAAGGTTCCTATAAGGATGGCAAACAATATGAATTATGAAGATAATTATAGGGGGACCCAAGAGGAAGAGCTTTCAGGGATGCAAAAGAAGTTAGAAAAGGCTGCTCAGAGGAAACTCCTTTCTAACTGTGCCTTGAAGGAAAAGCCAGAAACAGCCAAGCAGGGAAGAGAGGAAAGCAGTATAAGTACTGGTAATATCAATTACAAAGCAAGGAGGCAGAAGAAGCCCTGGCAGATGTTTGAGTGCCACAGCTGGGGTAAAGGGAGCAAAGTCAGGTCTCCTCTTGGGAAGTCTGTCTGGGGCCTGGTCTGCAAGGGCCATGCAGTAAGGCCCCGGAGGGTGAGCATCATCCTTCAATCTGTCACATAAAAAAACACCTCTGCACTTAAATAAGCAAGATTTTATCCAAAACAATTATTGCAATAAAGGAAGAAGAAACTTTTGCAGTAGTGGAAGGGGAACTATTGCAAGAGGGAGATGAAGACTGCTGTAATAGGGAGTGGAGGCCTTCTATCTGCCATAAGACAAAACAAAAAAAGTGAGCTTCTATTCTAGTGGAACAGTCAAACCATAAACAAAAATATCATTAGCAAATGATGTTTAGCAAAGAGTGTTTTTGTTACAGGAAAGGGGTTCCAATCGGACCCCAAGAGACGGTTCCTGGTTCTCACACAAGAAAGAATTCAGGGCGCTTCGGGAGAGTAAAGTGAAAGCAAGTTTATCAAGAAAGTCAAAGGATAAAAGAATCACTGCTCCATAGACAGAGCAGCCCTGAGGGCTGCTGGTTGCCCATTTTTACTGTTATTTCTTGGTAACAAAGAAATGCTAAACAAAGGGTGGATTATTCATGCCTCCCCTTTTTAGACCATATAAGATAACTTTTTGATGTTGCCATGGCATTTGTAAACTGTAATGGTGCTGGTGGGAGTGTAGCAGTTCACTCTCGTCATCATCTTGGTTTTAGTGGGGTTTGGCTGGCTGGCTTATTTATTTTTTCTTTTGAGACGGTGTCTTGCTCTGTCACCCAGGCTGGAGTGCAGTGGCTCAATCTCGGCTCACTGCAACCTCCACCTCCTGTGTTCAAGCAATTCCCCTGCCTCAACCTCCCAAGTAGCTGGGATTACAGCCCCCACCACCATGCCCAGCTAATTTTTGTATTTTTAGTAGAGACGAGGTTTCACCATGTTGGCCAAGCTGGTCTTGAACTCCTGAACTCAGGTGATTCCCCCACCTCGGCCTCCAAAGTGCTGGGATTACACCACACCCAGCCTTGGCTGGCTTCTTTACTGCAACCTGTGTTATCAGCGAGGTCTTTATGACCTATATCTGTGCCCACCGCCTTTCTCATCCTGTAACTTAGAATGCCTTAACCCGCTGGGAATGCAGCCCAGAGGTCTCAGCCTCATTTTACCCAGCTCCTATTCCAGATGGATTTGCTCTGGCTAAAATGCCTCTGACATTTTGAAAGTGTAATGAGTAAGAAAGTGTGTAATGGATAAAGTGTGAGAAGGAATAAACAGGGTTAAACAAGAGGAACGGAGACCCCATGTGCTTATGGACGCAATGCTCCTTCTACGTTGTTGATTGGCTATAAAATAAGCCCATGCAGTCTCTGATTGACTGTAAAATAAGCCCATGCTGTCTCTGATTGGCTGTAAAATAAGCCCATGCTGTCTCTGATTGGCTGTAAAATAAGCCCATGCTGTCTCTGATTGGCTGTAAAATAAGCCCATGTAGCCACTCATTGGCTGCGGGGTAGACGCACTCACCTGACGATGCGAGCCAGCAGGTGCTGTGGCGGCTGTCACGCCCCTCACGCCCATTTCCCTGTGCAGCCGACTGAGGAGACCCATCCTCGCAAGACCGTGCCTGGGCTGTTGGTGTCCCTGGCAGTTGCTGGGTTCTAGCGGTTGTTGGGTCCCTGGCAGTTGTTGGCGGTTGCTGGGTTCCTTCATTGAAACTGCACTAACTTGGCTTCCGGTTAGAGGCAGTCAGCGGATCCTTGGGCCGTGGGGCAGCCACAGGTCAGTCAGGCCACCAGGGCGGCTCTCGGGTCAGGGAGGCCCCTGCAAGCCCTTTGGTCGGGCAGAGGCCAAATTTGGATCCGTCAGACGGCGAGAGTAAGCATAGTCAGGGAGTTTGCCAGGAGCCGGGGCCGGGTTCCTCGGCCTCCGCCACATCAGTCACCTGGTCAGCCTGAGGGCAACCGGGGCGTCACCTGTCTACCAATAAGGTAAGCAAGTGGCCCGTCGGTTCACGAGCAGGTCGGTGCCCTTATGAGTCGACGGTGAATCCCCTTGGAAACAGTTCATCAGAGAATCCACTCCCTTCGTAGCCCCTGCCCTGTTCATTGGTAAATTAGGCTCCCGCTAAGTCGGTTTCTCGTAAGTTACAACCCCTGCAAAGCACTCAGTCAGTGATCACACAGTTATCCCATGTGTCAATCTGTTTCATTGTTAGTCGTCCTGGCTTTCCCTCGAAAAGCAGTTTTTTTCCTTAGCATAAACAGGTCAGTCATTCCTAAGTCAGCGCTTCCCTTAGAAAGCTCAACATCTTTGCATCCCACATACCCGGCTAAGGAAATACACAGACCGAAGTGTGCTGAGGACAGGGAATATGCTGGAGCCATTTGGAACAAGAGACAGAAGGAAAATTGAGAGACGTGACGGGCAAAGAAAATAGGCCGGGTGCAGTGGCTCCCGTCGGTAATCCCAGCATTTTGGGAGGCCGAAGCAGGGGGATCACTTGAGGTCAGGAGTTTGAGACCAGCCTGGCCAATATGGTGAAACGCCGTTTCTACTAGAAATACAAAAATTAGCCAGGCATGGTGGTAGGTTCCTGTAATCCCAGCTACTTGGGAGGCGGAGGCATGAGAGTCGCTTGAACCTGGGAGATGGAGGTTGCAGTGAGCCGAGATCACGCTACTACACTCCAGCCTGGGCAGCAGAGTGTCTCAAGAAAAAAAAAGACTTAATTATAAGACCTGAGATTGTAAAACTACTAAAAGATAACATGGGGAAACGTCTGTATATTCCGATATAATACACAACAAAAATTATTGGTTTGTGAAATAATTTTTTGGATATGACTTCAAAAACACAGGCAACTAAACTGAAATTGACATATGAGATTACATCAAACTAAAGTTTGTGCGCAGCAAAGGAAACAATCAACAAAGTGAAGCGACAACCTACAGAATGGGAGAAAATATTTGCAAAGCATCCCTCTAATAAGGGGCTCATATCCAAAATATATAAGGTTCTCAATTCAGTAGCAAAAAAAAAAAAAAAAAAAAACGCAAATAACCCAATTAAAAAATGGGCAAGGACCTGAATAGGCATTTCATTAAAGAAGATATACCAAAATGGCCAACAGGTATATGAAAAAATGCCTGACATCACTAATCATCAGAGAAAAGCAAATGAAAACCACAGATGTCACCTTAAACCTGTTAGATGGCTGTTATCAACAAGGCAAAAGATAAGTGTTGGTGAGGATGTGGGGAAAAGTAAGCCTTGTACACTGTTGGTGGAAATGTAAATTGCTATAATCATTATGGAAAATAGTATGGAGTATCCTTAAAAAATTAAAAATAGAACTACCATATGATTCAGCAATCCTACTTCTAGGTATATATCCCACAGAAACGAACTCAGTATTTTGAAGAGATATCTGCACTCCTGTGTCCACTGCAGCATTATTCACAATAGCCAAGATGTGGAATCAACTAAGTGTCCATTAATGGATGAGTAAAGAAAATATTATGTATGTATACACACAAACACACACACCATTCAAATATTGTCATTTTGTTCAAAATTGTCTAATTATAAGAGAAAAAAAGAATTTCCTAGCCAGGACCACTATCCGTGTAGAGTTCACATGTTCTCATATACGGCAAAATTGGTTTCATTATACATCATTTCACTTAAAGTAGCAGTTTCCAAGAACCTAATGATAATGTTAAGTGAGGATTTATTGTACACACACACAGTGGAAGTTATTCATCCTTAAAAAAGGACATCTTGCCATTGGCAACAATGTAAATAAACCTGAAAGACATTATGCTTGCTATGTAAAACAAGTCAGACACAGAAAGACAAATACTACATCATCTCACTTACATGTAGAATCTAAAAGAGTCAAATGTATGAAAGCAAAGTATAGAAGGGTGGTTGCCAGGGCTGAGGGCTAAGGGAAATGAGATATTGGTCAAGGGATACAAAGTTTCAGTTGGGCAGGATGAATAAGTTCCAGAGGCTTAAGGTACACCATGGTAACTATAGCAAATAATAATGGATTATATACTTGACATTTTATGACAATAGATATTAAATGTTCTCACCACAAAAAAAAATGGTAACTGAAGTGATGGTTATGTTAATTCACTGGATTGTGGTAATCACAGTGAGTACATACATCAAAACACCATGTTGTACACCTTAAGTATATACAATTTCTATTTGTCGGTTGTACCTTCAATAAAGCTGGAATTTAAAAAACTGAAAATTCTATTCCTCTCATCTCTACCACTGGTCTAACCATAGGTAAGCACTGGTATCAAGTTATACATCATTCTAGATCTTTTAAATTATATATGAATATGTAGGTATATATTTATATAAAATACATATACATAAAGCTTTTACATAAATGACAAATGATGCAGTTTTCATTTAAATATTGTGAAATATTTCAGACATATAGAAAGGTATAAACATGATATAATGAGCGTATACCCACCACCAGCATAATATTGAAAACACTGGCTGGGCACAGTAGCTCACACCTGTAATCCCAGCATTTTGTAAACCCCAGGTGGCAGGATTGCTCAAGCCTAGGAGTTTGAGACCAGCCTGGGCAACATAGCAAGATCCCATCTCTACATAAATTAAAAAGTTAGGCATGGAGGTGTATGCCTGTAGTCCCAGCTACCTGGGAGGCTGAAGTGGGAAGATTGCTTGAGCCTGGGAGGTCTAGGGTGCAGTGAACTGTGAATGCTCTGTTGCACTCCATCCAGCTTGGGTGACAGAGTAAGACCCTGTCAAAGAAAGACAGACAGACAGACAGAAAGACAAGGAAGGAAGGAGGGAAGGAGGGAAGGAGGGAGGGAGGGAGGGAAGGAGGGAAGGAAGGTGAGAGGGAGGGAGGGAGGGAGGGAAGGAAGGAGGGAAGAAAGGTGAGAGGGAGGGAGGGAAGGAAGGAAAAGAAAGAAGGAGAGAAGGAGAGAGAGAGGAAAGAAAGGAGGGAGGGAGGGAGGGAAGGAAGGAAAAGAAAGAAGGAGAGAAGGAGAGAGAGAGGAAAGAAAGGAGGGAGGGAGGGAGGGAGGGAGGAAGAAAACAAACAAAAAACTAACCACTACCCCTGGTATACTCCCTTTTCTGAACACATCTCCCACTCTCAAACATAGAGATAACTGCTGTTTTGAATTTGACATTTCATTCTATGGAGTAAGGAATTTAACCTTGCCTGAAGAGAGGTCTGGCCTTTGCCCCTGGCTTCTGAACGACACTCTCTAGCTCTTAGAATGTCATACCTGATAGGGATGTCTTTGTTTGCTCAGGGACCTTGCATCACACTGAATATTCTAAAAATGTGATTTAGGGTGACGGCTGGCCACACCAGTTAATGTTAACAATGTGATTTAGAGTGGAAGCAGACCATACCAGATAGTCTAACAACATGATTTGGAATAGGGGCTTTGAATCAGGTGGTATCAGCTCAACTTCAGGAGGGGCTGGATACTAAGATCCGCCTTGAGGGAAGTCAACCATGTTACATGATGGAGGCCCAATAAAAACACTGGACACAAGGGTTGGGTGAGCTTCTGTAGTTGACAGTACTATGCATATTGTCACACATTATTACTAAGAAAATTAAGTTATGCTGTCCATGACTCCATAGGGAGAGGGTAACTGGAAGCTTTGTCTCTGCCCTGTGTGTCTTCCCTTGGCTGATTTTAATTTCTGTCCTTTAGTTGTAGTTAACAGTAATCAAGAGTATAACAGCTTTCAGGGAATTCCGTGAGTACTTCTAGTGAATACCAAGCCTAAGGGTAGTCTTGGGGTTCAAAACCTACAAATGATTTGAGAAATGAGGATAATCAGGGATCCTTGAAATCTTCAGTTGGTGTCAGAAATGAGGGCATCTTCTGGACTATTTCCTAACTTTTCAGTTTTATCAGAAATGGGATTCATTAAAACAACTATGACTCGCTGAAACATATGGTTTGAGAAGAGGAAGGATGTGAAATCAAGATGATGAGCCTTTGATTCCTGGATTGTCCTGAGGTCACCCATGGGTATAGAAATGCAAACAGTTATCAGAGGTAAAAGTTACCATTGTTTTTTCAATAAAATGGATACAACCCCCAAGGAGTTGACCCACTGGATGCATAAGGAAACAAACTAAATAGACAATCCTTCCGCTATTCTTATCTGTAATCACTAAAATGAAAGTGACTGAGGCAGATCCTGATGCTGGGCCAATCTTGGGCTCTGGCCAGCCTGAGCTACAGCTGCTAGCCTCAGGGCTGCTGCTAAAGGGAAAAGTTAGGCTGAAATGACAGATGGCAAAGAAAATTAGAGTAATTCACCAGAGAGTGAGAAAAGATGAACATTTCCAAGAGGGTGGAAATCTTTAAACAGTTATCAGGAAATGAGATGAGTTAAGCGGACACTGAGGAAGTCAAAACAAAGGTCTCAATGGAGCACTGTTAGAAATTAGGTGGACTAGTGGGAACCCAGACTGGTCCCCCAATGTCGAAGGGCCCCAGTCAAGTCTGCTCTATTTGCCCTAGTTTGGAGGAATTTTAAAAGCCAGAAGGCAAACATGACAATGAGAAATCTGACTTCATATCTCCTGAGTGGATGAACATGTGATCTAATCAAGATAAATGACAAAAGGGCCTGGGTTGCTCGGCCTGGCCTCCAACTGAGGACCCAAAGTCATATGCACATTATTGGCAAAAAAAGGGGGATGGTTAAGAGACATTTTTGGGACTCGTGGGAGCCCTGAACACTGCAATTCCGAAAAGGTTGGTGAAATTCGAATAGTGTCTATAGTTAGATTGTAAAAACATAGGATTGCCAAAGCTGATGAGATTCAGGTGAAACTTCGGATGAAAACTGGACTGTTTGGACAGATGTTGTGTAAATGTATTATGTGAATGTATTTACATAAATGTATTATGAGGAAGGATATTATGTCCAACTAGGGAAGAACTCCTCTATCTACTATTATAAAACAGAAGGCATGTAAATCTTCCCTTCAACCAATATCTGTTGAATATGCTAAATAGGAACCAATAAGATTGCCCAAGCCCACATTAATTGTTAATTTGAAACAGTACAGGATATCTGGTGGACAAAACGTTAGAAACTTAATGTTTGGTTTCTTTAGGCAGACTGGAGCTAAGGCCAGTGAGCACCACCCAGTGGTGAATGCTGGGATTTTTTTGCCAGAGAATTTCCATTTGAGAGGCAACTAGCTGCGTATCGGGCTTTGAGTCGGCCCCGTCATTGAAGGACAGAATAATCCTGACACCTGAAATACTCATGATGTGTTTGTAATGTTGGGAAAACACTGCAGCAACGAAGGCCATGCCCAAAAGAGTCTTGTAATAAAATGGAAATTGTTTTTACAGGAAAATGCTACCAAGGAAATGCAAGGAGGTATTCGTTATAGTTATGAACAGGTAGCCTCTTTTTCCCTACTGAAGAGCTGCGAGATCCTATTACTTGGATGACGATGTCTATTAATAGCTGGATTGACCAACTAAGAGCTGTTTGATTTATGGATGGCAATTCCAAAGTGAATTAACAACATCCTGTTTGGAAGACTGACACTCAGATTGACGAAGGTCGGCTGAATTGCCTCTATGTTTGGGTTTTTACCAATTCATGGGCAGTGGCCAATGGCCTGGCCATATGGGCAGGCAGATGGGCAATGAAAAACTGGACTATTAGAAGGATGCCTATATAGGGTACAGCCTTATGGAATTCACTATAGCCAGTATCTCAAAAGAGTTGTTCATACCCCTATAAATAAGAAGAGAAGCAGACCTCCTTCCTCCCCACGGCAATTTTTATGCTGGAAATTTCTTGGCAACTTTTAAAGGATTTTTACTACTTGTGCATGTATTCATAAACACTTGATTTTGCCCAGTCTTTTTCACATTTTAAATAAATGCAACCATACATTATTACTCATTTGTGTCTGGCTTTGTTCATTCAATCTTTTATTTTTAGTGGTCCATGTTGTTGCATCTAGCATTAGCTCACAGGTTTTGGTTGCTGTGTAGTATCTCATGTTTTAAAATCCTATGTTTACTGGCATTTGGATTGTTTAACTTTGCAACTATTTTAAAATAATATCACTGTAAACATTTTTGCTTTGCTTTCTGTGTACATATGCACAAACATTTCAATAAAGTATGTATCTGGGAGTGGAATTGAGGGTCGTAGAGTAATATGTGTCTTCTACTTTGATAAATAACTTTGCTGCCCTGATTTATATTTCCACCAATAGTGTGTGAAAGTTGAGTACCACATTCTCACCAAGACTTGATATATTGTCAGTCTTTTAAAATATTCAGCTGGATATGTACTGGTATCCCATGGTTTTAACAGGCATTTCCCTGGTTATTAATGATATTTTAAATATTTTCACGGAAATTTTGTTAAGATTTAAATGTCTTATGATCCAGCTATGGCCAATTTCTGTAAATGTTTTCTGTGGCCTTATAAAGAAATTGTATTTTGCAGTTATTGACTGCAGGATTCTCTATAGATTTTTGGTCAAATTTGCTGACCATGTTGTTAAAATCTTTATATATCCCAATAGTTTGTCCTATCAGTTCCTGAGAGAACAGTGATTAAAATGTCAAACTACTATTGTGGATGTCTGTTTCTCTTTTTATTTTTGTTGATTTTTGGTTTATATATTTTTGGACTATGTTAGTAGGCAAACACAAATTTTAAATATATACTTTATTCCTGTTAATGTCATCTTCTCATTAGGAGATATGCCAGGCTACCTTTGGTAGTACCTTTTGCTTGAAGTCTACTTTATGGGATGTTAATGTAGGTATGTCTACTTGTTCTGTGGTTGGTATTTGCTTTGTATATAGTTTTCATTCTTTGGTTTAATTGTCATTTACACTTTTGCTTTGCTTGTGTCTCTTGTAAACAGCATAGTTTGGCTTTGCTTCTTTTTTCCAATATGATGATCTTAGATCCATTACCAGATAATTTAAGCCATTTATATTTAGTGCACTGATGTACAGTTTAAATCTAACATCTAGGTACCTGATTGCTATTTGTCTCAACTGTTCTATATTCCCTTCGGTATCCTTTCTGTTTGTTTTTCTGTCTTTATTTTCAAACAAGCTTTTAAATCAAAGTACAATTTTATACAGAGAAGTATTAATAGAGTTCATAAGTATACAACTCAAATTATCATAAAGGGAGCAAACCAGTGTAACCACCATTGAGGTCAAGAAATAGAACATTAACAACATCCAAACATGCCACTCATGTACTACACCATTCATTATCCTCTTTATCCTTGCTAACAACTACCCTACCCTGATTTCTAACATCATTTATTACTTTTCCTCATCTTGAAGTATAAAGTATTTCCAAATGAAATTATAACATATTATTTTGTGTCTGCCTTCTTTCATTCAATATGGAATTCATTCATGTGGTTGCTATAATTCATTCATTCATTTTGTTTGCTATATAGTTCCATTTATGAATATATGATAATTATTTAACCATTTCACTGCTCATTTTGAGTGTTGAGATGTCTATGAAATAGTGTTAATATGAATAATATTCTTGCACATTTCTTTTAGTACATAGTTCATAAATTTCTGTTGGGCATATACCTGAGAGTAAAATTGCCAGAGCATAGGATTCACATGTTCAAATTAAGTAGAAAATGTCAAACATTTTTAAAAAAAATAATTATACCAACCTTTGTTCCCATTAGTAGCTTGAGTTCCTGTAATTTTATTTCCTCTACACACGTGGCATTAGAAATCTTTCTATCTAGTCTATCTATGTGAGTGTGTAGTGGTATCTCATTATGGTTCTAATTTGCTTCCTCTGATGACTAGTAAGTTTGAGCATCATTCAAATTGTTTCCTGGCCATAATCTTTTGTGATGCCCCTGCTCCAGACTTTTTTATTCAGGTCTACTATTTGTCTGCCTTTTTGTTGACTTGTAAGATCATTTTTTGTTGTTGTTGTTCTGGATGCAAGCATGTTGTATGTGTTGCAAGTATCTTCTCCAGACCTGTAGCTTGCATTTATCCTCTCTTAATGGTATCTTTTGATGCAGAAATTAATTCTAATGAAGTCCATTTATCCATATTTCCTCATAGCTAGTGCTTTTTGGTCCTTTTAAAGAAGTCTTTGCCTACGTAGAACTTACCAGGATAGTCTCCTATGTTGTATTCAAGAATTTCACTCACCAAGCTGGTTGCTACTAACTACACATGGCTATTGAGCCCTTATATTGTGGCTAGTCTGAATTGAAATGTGCTGTAAGTGTAAAATATATATAAGATTTTGAAGACTTTGTAAAGAATGTACAAATCTTACTAATTTTCTGTTGATTGCATGTTGAAATATTGAGTTAGGTTCAGTATAAAAACCTAGTGAGTAACCTAGGTTTCTTTCACTAGGTTAAATGAAACATCATTAAACTTAATTTTAACCATGTCTTCCTTTTTAAAGTGGCTACTAGAAAATTTAAAATAATACATGTAGTCCAAATTTATAGCTTACATTTCTTAACACAGCACTGTTCTAGAAAAAAGTTTAAAGACTTTCCCATTGTCCCTAGAAGTTATTTTTATGTATGGCATGAGGTAGGGGTCTTCTTTTTTTGCTGTATGGCTAACCAGTTATTCTGACACAATTTATTCAAAAGACAGTCCTTTCACAACTGCTTTTCAGTGCCATATTTATCCTAAATCAAGTGACCATGTCTGTATAGGTATTTTTCTCAACCAGATAGCCTGTCTCATTGATATTTTTATTGATCCCCATGTCAATATCATACTCTTGAATTACTATGTATGTATGTATTTTATTTATTTACTTAAAATTATTTTGTGATAGAGTCTTACTCTGTTGCCCAAGCTACAGTGGAGTGGTGCGATCACGGCTCACTGCAGCCTCAACCTCCCCACCTCAAGTGATCCTCCCACCTTAATCTTTCAAGTAGCTGGGACTAAAGGTGCATACCACCACACCCCAATAGTGTTTGTGTTCATGTTGCCCAGGCTGGAATTACTATGGATTGTTAAGTCACAATATTCAGTAGGAAGTGGAATTGGCCATTTTTTTTGAGACAGGATCTCACACTATCTATTTTTTTAATAGCAGTTTACTGAGAACAAATTTATTAAATAAATATCTGCATGGAATATAAAAGGGAACATTGTGCCATGCTATATAATATTACTTTCAGCATTCATTTCAAATTTATGGCAAAACAATTATACTTTGGGGGGAAGATGTTGTTTTGTACTTCTCACCAAACTAAACATTATCATATTTTTCCTGAGAGGATGTCAACACTTTTCTATCTTAAGTGATCACACCAGTGCACTCCAGACTGGGTGACAGAGAAAGAGAGGGAGAGAGAGAGTGAGAGAGAGATAAAGAGAGAAAGACCCTGTCTCAAAAAACAAAAACAAACTGGGCATGGTGGCTCATGCCTGTAATCTCAGCACTTTAGGAGGCCAAGGTGGGTCAGGTGTTTGAGACCAGCCAGGCCAACATGGTGAAACTCCATCTCTACTAAAAATAGAAAAATTAGTTGGCCATGGTGGTGCATACATGTAATTCCAGCTACTCAGTAGGCCAAGACAGAAGAGTCACTTGAACCTGGGAGATAGAGATTGCAGTGAGCCAAGATCAAGCCATTGCACTCTAGTCTGGGCAACAGCATAAGAACGAAACAAAGACTAGAGGAGACATGACACTAGGGCTTCACAGAAAATCTTAGTTGCCTCCCTGTCCCTCCATGCTCATGAGCATCTCATCCCACATAATTCCTGCTTCTCCAGGTGAACAGGTCTTCACGATGACCAGAGACAGAAGCCCCTGCCTTGGCTAAGAATACTTTCTTCTCTCCCTATCCCCACATCCTCTTTCAGTTACCCATCACCTCGCTCCTTCTGAGCAATACGGTTCTGATGTCAAAGCCAGCACAGTAAAGAGCCTCTACTGTTCCCGAGAACTGCTGCTGCTGCAAATGATGCTTCCACTGCTACGGCTGGGTAAGTAGGAGGCAGCGTTGGAGGTGTGTTCGGGAGCCAAGGCTCCACGGCCTGGGTGTTGATGGGGCAGAGGATGGGCTATGGAGGCATGGAGAAGGAGAACATACAGGCGTAAGTACCAAATAACCAATGTGAATTAGACATCTTCTGCGTGCCAGATCTTGACGGGGCTGGGGTGTCTGAAGCAAATAGCAAATTGGGCAAAGGAGAGAGGGATTGAGAGTGCAGGTGCTATGAAGGCATGAGAGCACTAATAGCTGTTTCAGACATTACTGGAAGCCCTGAAGGTAAGTCTCTCAGCGTTTCCATGGGCACACTTTGCCAGATGGAAAAGATAGGCTCAGAGGACAGCCATAGAAGGGGCTGTGCATCAGGGTTCCCGCACATTCCTCAACAGCACCCCCAAGTGACCTGGGTGAAGAGACCAAGATCAAGAGCTACTGGTTAGTGGAAAATTATCCCTTTCTTCCAGTAACCTCAAACCTCAATGAAAAAGCGCATGTAAAGCTGAAGACGGATTCCTCATTATTGGAAACAGTGATGAATGTCCTTCCTAATCCTTGATGTTCATCAAATGTCCAACATGTCCTATCTCTTCTGTATAGAGCAAGGCTGTTTCCAACATTCTTATGAGAAGACGCCATAGTATTCTTGGCTTCCATTTAATCTTCCATCAAAGGCCACTTGGGACCGGGAAGAAGGAAATTGAGAAAGGTGTTCTGTTTACTGAATGGCCAATACTTCACTAGGCACTGAGCTGGGTGCACTACAAATCTTAGGGCATTCATTCTTATAGCAAAGATAATATGAGAGGTTCAGCAAACATCCTGATTTTCCAGGCTAGGAAACAGCAACGATAAGGGAAGTGACTTGCCCAGCAGCATCCAGACTGTAAGTGATGGATGGAGAAATTGATCACAGAGCCTAAGGGGAAAGTTGGGGGTGGGAAGAAGAGAAGCAGAGTAGGAGCTCTGGCTTGGACATCTAGTCTTGCCGAGTAGGTGAGGGATCACAGACAATGTAGATCCTCAGAAAATTTACTTGCCACCCCTCAAGAAGGTCTAGCGATCAGGTTCAGGCCAAATGAGGAGAGAGGATAGAGGGGAACTTGTCTGTGACGCCTGAATCCTGTGGGCTTCCAGAAAGTCCTTCTGAAGCTCCTTGTAAATAGCAAATAAAGAGAAGGCTGCATCCTGGAGAAACTGGAGGAGGGAAGCCAGGAATCCTTGCTGACTCCTGACTCTTCCTCCCCACTGTATCTACGAGGCTGCTCAACTCCTCTTGCTCCTTGGAGAAGACACTGCAGTGCAGCTGTTCCTTCCATGGGATCCCCACACCCTCTGTGCAGTGGTGGATGGGAGGAGTCCCTGTGGGTGTGGATGGCATAGATGGCAGCCTCCAAGTGACTTCCACCATGCTTGGTCCCTGGGCTAACAGTACCATCAGTCTAACCGAAGAGCCGGAAATCGGCATGAGACTTCTCTGTGAGGGGAAGAACCAAAACGGAACCCACGCTTTGAGCATCCTACTGATGTCAAGTGAGGGTGGAGGGGGCTCGGTGACTGGGTGAGGACAATAAGGGGGATGGGGACAGGCACCGGGGCTAGAGAATGGAGCAGAGTTTTGGTCCAATGCCACACTTCTCACTTGCTCTCTGCTTCCAGGAAAGAGTTCTTTGACTTCCCAGGCCTTCATGAAAGGGCTGATCCAGAGTGCTATCTATGCAGGAATCGTAATTGCGCTGCTCTTCCTCTGCCTCCTCCCTCTCATGTGAGTACTAGGGTTAAAATTCACTTGCGAGCCTACTACCCACAGGCCCTGGCTGCAGCCCTGGCTCAGAGAGAGCAAAGACAGGACCCCTCCCCTCAAGGAGCTTAGAGTCTAAAGAAGGAAAGAGGCACCAAACACAGTCACCACAATCCAGGGCCATCAGGACGATGGCTCTGTATCGACAGAGCCATAAAACTACATCATAAAACAGACACTTCCAGTACATTTTGTAAAGGAGAAAGCCAAGGAGGGGCTTGGCAGCCCTGGAGAAGGCAGCAATAAGTCCCTGGGGTGCTGTCTGTGGTGGGCCTGCAGGGACTAGCTTGCCACTAGCTTGGTGGAAAGTATTAATAGTATAGGTTAATTTCATTACTGGGTATATACCCGAGGGATTATAAATCATTCTATTATAAAGGCACATGCACATGTATGTTTATTGCAGCACTGTTCACAATAGCAAAGACTTGGAACCAACCCAAATGCCCATCAATAGACTGGATAAAGAAAATGTGGCACATATACACCATGGAATACTATACAGCCATAGAAAGGATGCCTTCATGTCCTTTGCAGGGACATTGTTGAAGCTAGAAACCATCATTCTCAGCAAACTAACACAAGAAGAGAAAACCAAACACTGCATGTTCTTATAAGTAGGAGTTGAACAATGAAAATACATGGACACAGGAAGGGGAACATCACATACTGGGGCCTGCTGGGGGGTGGGGATTTAGGGGAGGAATAGCATTAGGAGATATATCTAATGTAGATGATGGGTTGATTGACGCAGCAAACCACCATGGCATGTGTATAACTATGTAACAAACCAGCACATTCTGCACATGTACCCCAGAACTTAAAGTATAGTAAAATTGTGCATATGTGTATATGTATATATGTGTGTGTGTGTGTGTGTGTGCATGTGTGTATAAAATATAGGTTGAGTATCTCTAATCCAAAAATCAAAAATACTCCAAAATGTGAAAGTTTCTGAGGCACCAACATAATGCCACAGGTAACCTCATGTGATGGTTCAATCTACATATACTTTATTTCATTCATAAAATAATCTTCAATAGTGGATAAAATCACTTTTAGGCCATGTGTAGAAGGTATATATGAAACATAAATGAATTTTGTTTTTGTTTTTGTTTTATTTTATACTTTTGTTATTTACCACTTATGATATACCCAAGATATATCATTATGTATAAACAAATATTCCAAAATTTAAAAAAATAGAAATCTAAAACACTTCTGGTCCTAAGCATTTCAGATAAGGGATACCCACCCTTTGTATGCAGAAGCCCAGGGGCATACTTGAGGTATTTCCAGTGTCTTTGTGTAATGTCAGGTGCACTGAGAGTGTGGGTAATGGCTAAAAATGAGGTAGAAAGACATCCTTGGTGCTGGTTCACAGAGTATTAAAACTTAGCTGCATTTATTAGCTAGAATCCTGGAGTGAGAAGGGCTGAGTTGCAGGAAGTCAGGCCAGAGAGTCGTGCAGGCGTGCCTGTCCAGAAAGCTTGGACTGAATCCCCAGTTGGGAGCCATGAAAGACTGCTAAACTGTGGAGGAAAGCTTGAGCTTGGGGTGGGACACAGATTAGAGAGAGAGCCAGAGGTCAGAGGTCAGGCAGAAAGCTGGTGCAGGGGACTAAGCAGGAAATAGCAGGCCTGATCTGGGGCAAATCATGAGGGGCAGCCAGAGAGGTGGGACTTGGGAATGGCCAGCTATGGGGAGAGAAAGATGAAGAGTGAGGTGGCAGGGCAAACCGAGGAGCTATTTTCAAAGTATAATCAATTGGACTTAAAGACCAGTAATAATCTCTCCACCAGTTGCAAGGCCCTTTCATAGCTGACCTCATCTGAGCCCCACAGCTTAATAAGCAGGGTATCCCCATTATTCAAGGTGTGAAACTAATTCCCAGAGAGGATGTGTCACTTGCCCTGGGTCATACAGCAAGCTGGTACTGTTGTTGAGGCGCTAAACCAGTAGTTCCGGTCAAGATAGAGCCCATTTGGGGATTCAGGGAGATGGAAAGCCAGAACCAATCCAAAGCTTATTTTCTTAGAGTGAAACATATCAGAAAGAAGCAGGTGAAGAAAACTGCAGCAATCAAAGCGAAAAAGAGCTCTAAAGTCAGAGCAAGCCAAGAACTCAAGACGTCTCTGAAGCCTGAGGAACCGGGAAAACCCACAGTCGCCACATTTTCTGAAAGCCGGATATTGGTGAGTATCCACTGTGTCTGGTACCTAGTCTACTGGAATACTGATAAGATCCACAGGGAAAGGAGCAGTGTTTTGAAGGTGTTATCATCCTCAGTCCTGCAGGACACCTAATGCCAGAGTGTGCCTTCAGATCATTTTATAAATAGGAAGCAAAGGCCCAGAGAGGAGTAGAATGAAAGTTAAGAGAAACAATTTAAAGAGCAATTAAAATCAATTTACACACACACACACACACACACACACACACACACGCGGATACATTGAATCCCCACTGAAAAAGCAGTTGGGGAAAATCCTAATAGCAGTTGTAGCATCGGAGTGGAAACCAAAGGATTTGGTCTCTGAGTGTACGGCCAGCTGCAGTCAGCTTGGTGTAGATGCCACAGGCCCAAGTCAGCCTGAAGTGGTTAGAGATCAGACCAAGCCCAGGTTACGCCTTCGTTCACCCTGTACCCCACATCCTCAGCAGGGCTTGAAAGATACAGTGCCCAAGGTTGCTAGGCCTCACTGTTATTTACCATTTATGATTATCCAGAATCAGAATTGCCCTGCTGCCCTCCTAACACCCTGCATGAACAGTTAATGTCCTTCTGTGGGTAAATCATCTGTTAAATTTCACCAATATTTCCTGCAATATCTCCTAATCTTTGTGCTGGGGTCTCAGAAATGGGTCAAACCTAGGCCTTGTCCTCAGAAAGCAATCAGACTGGTGGAGAAGGCACCTTCACAAGTAGGGAATGCTGAGCCAGGGAGTTTTGGTGGGGCAGGAGAGGGAGGGACCAAACCTGCAGGAGGAAGTCAGGCAGGATTCCCCGAGGAGTGTGAGGAATAGTCAGTGTTATTGGTACTGAGGATGAGCCAAGAAGGACCAGAAGGAGAAGACCAGTTGCAGGCTCCAACCATGGGGTTGCAAAGAAGGCCTAAGCCAGTGCTCACTCCATGTTGCCTTAATTCTGTGCACAAGGGGTGTCTTTTAAAGATTTGGATACCTCATTTCCAGACCCGTTCCCACATTCTTCTTTCTTTGTCCTATTTTGCATCTCGCTTTCAGGAAAAGCAAGATAAACGAGCCAGCTAAGCCTGTGGAATGTGCATCAGACCTGGAGTCACCATTATCCCTGGAGTTACAAAAGCCTGCAAAATGTATAGAGCCCACAGAAACCATGGAGGCTATAATAAACCCGGATCCCCCTGGACTCTCCTCGGCTCACAAAGCCCTCTCGGTTCCCACATATCCCTCACACTCATTCTCCATCGAATAGGGGGTTACTCTTAGACCTAGTCTTAGAACCTCTGAAGGCAAACTTTATAATTTCTTGTTTGGCTAAACCAGAAGAAATCTGCTCCACCCTGGGAAGGTGTCAAAAGAAGGAAAAATACATGTGGCAGTATAAATCAAGTCCATCAGCGAGTTGCTTTTAAGCCCCTCCTGTGTGCCCAGTACCTGAGGTACACCTGCAAAAGCACCAGGCTTTGAATCCATCATATCTGGATAGAATCCCAACTTCAGCACTTGGTGGCTGTATATCTTTGGGCATGATCTTTCGTTCCCCCACCCTTGAACATCACATGACCCATATCTGGATGGAGAGTGGCTGAAAAGCAGTGTTCAGAGATGCAGATGAGAAAAAACATGACAACGGGCCCTGAACGCCAAGATTCATTGGAGCTTTGGAGCTTTATCTCATAGGACCTTATCCTGACTCCCTTAGAATGTAAGTTCTAAGAGAACAGGGATTTTGTCTGCCTTGCTTTCCACTTTTATCAGCAGCGCCTAGAATGATACCTAAAATACAATAAGATCTCAAGAATGTTTGTCAAATGATTTAATTGATTATAAGCTGCTGTAAGGTTTGAAACAATCAAGTGGAGTGACCAGATATATACAGAAACATCATTCTCCTACCCTGACCCCGTATGTGATATATTTAAGAGGGGTAAGGCTGGAGGTAAAGCTGATATGAGGTTATCGCAATATTTCTTGGCCAGATTGAAAGGTGGGCATGCAAGGAATGGAAAAGGGATTCTGGCATTAGAATGGACCACAGCTGTGTTGTTCCTCTCAGAATGGATGACAACCTCCCTTCTAGCCAGATGCTAGTAGTTTTCAGCAGGTGGAAAGAGGGTCCTCTCTCCCCTGGGGCAGTATTTGTGAGTAAATAGCTAGATGGTCATCTTATACTCAGCGTGGACATTTATGTTAGTCCCCACATGCATAAGCACCTCTTTATAGGCAGTTCACATTTCACAGAAATATCAGAGGTGCCAGATGATGAGGGAAAGAAGGAACACACTGGCCCTCCCTCCTTGGAGTCATGATCTACATAGATAGATAATGAAGAAATGCAAATTTACAGTTTAAAATGTTGATAAGTGCTAGAGAAAAGGATAGAACACTGTGAGAAAGTATAGGAGAGGAACCTAGGTTGGATTACAGAGTCAGAGAAGGCCTCTCAGAAAAAGTGACCCTTCCTTGAGACCTACCGGATTTATAGGAGCTGGCTAGACAGAGGGAGCAGCAGATCCATGGCTCTGACACGACAGACGTTTGGTGAGTTCAGGAACCCAGAGCAGGCTGCTGTGACCGGAGCTGACTGAGGCGTGAGCTCCTGAAGGACCAGAACTTGCAGGGCCGCAAGGGCTCTAGTGAGAAGTTTAGGTTTTGTCCTCACTCGTGAAGGGTTATTTCTTTTTATGCCTCAGTGCAGCTGTATGAGAAGCAAACGCCAAACCTGTTATACAGAGGCTTCGACCCTCAACTCAAAACCTCTGTGCAGCAGAGGCAGAAGCCTCTATATAACAGGTCTGGCGTTTGCTTCTACTAAAGATGCATCCTCTATTTGGGAGGGAGAGGCAAACAGGCTGGGGAGAGGGAGAGTGCCAGTGTTAGGAAAAAAAGAATGAAATCTAGAAAAGGAACAGGAGAGAGAACCGGGCTGGGCTGGGGATAGGTCAGAGGCGAGTTTGGGAATGGGAACAGAGAGCCTGGGCTTCATCGCGTGTCTCGTTTTCTTTCTTTCTTTCTTTTTTTTTTTTTTTTTTTGAGACGGAGTTTCGCTCTTGTTACCCAGGCTGGAGTGCAATGGCGCGATCTCAGCTCACCGCAACCTCCGCCTCCTGGGTTCAGGCAATTCTCCTGCCTCAGCCTCCTAAGTAGCTGGGATTACAGGCACGCGCCACCATGCCCAGCTAACTTTTTGTATTTTTTTTTTTTTAGTAGAGATGGGGTTTAACCATATTGACCAGAATGGTCTCGATCTCTTGACCTCGTGATCCACCCGCCTCTGCCTCCCAAAGTGCTGGGATTACAGGCGTGAGCCACCGCGCCCGGCTGTGTCTCGTTTTGTAAGTGACAGGGGCCTCGGGTGCAGGACAGGAAACAAGGAGCACACAGGGTGCCTTCTTACCACCCCTGGGGGTCCAGCACCGGGCATTTTGTCCATGGCTTGACTTCCCGCACGTACTAGGTTGTGAGAGGAATGTCCCTTAGCAACTCATTGGCCTGGAGTCTAGAGCACCGGTGGGGGTCTGGAACCACATGCCCCCAATGCCTGGGGGACGCGGTAGCGACGGTTGCTCCTGACGAGCTCTGGTTCTCTCCTATGAGGCTGCGCATCTCAGCAGCGCCCGCGGGAAGGGTCAGGCCCTGATTGGCTCTGGACAGACCCGCGTGTGCTCGCGGGGCGGGGCTTCACGGGGTGGGTATCCCCGTGCAAGGAGGTTGGCGAGGCCTCCGGGGGCTCCCAGGTCAGCGAATCGGTTAGCCTTACTCTGCCTCAGTCATTTCCCTGTGTTTGTGTACACTGTCGGGAGCATCTGGAGTCACTGAAGACAGTAATAGGAAGTCAACCAGACTCGCTTGATCAAAAATTCAGGAGGACATTCGGTTTTCAAGGAGACAGTGCCGAGGAAGGATCAGGCTGGAGCTCTTTGGAACCTGAGACTAGGTGGTAAATATGGAAAAAGAAATGATAATTTAGGGGGAGGAAAAAGAGGTCACCTGTGAAGATAACTCATGCACACACCAGGACCTAGAGAAGTAAATGAGACTGGGAAGAGATCAGAATTTTATTTTATTATTTTATTCATCTATTTATTTTGAGACAGTGTCTTCTCTGTCACCCAGGCTGGAGTGCAGTGGCACAGTCTCAGCTCACTGCAGCCTCGACCTCCCAGGCTCAAGAGATCCTCCCACCTCGGCCTCCAGAGTAGCTGTGCCCACCATACCAGGCTAATTTTTTTAATTGTTTTATAGAGACAGGGTGTCCTTATGTTGCCCAGGCTGGTCCCAAACTTCTGGGCTCAAAACGGTCCTCCCACCTCAGCCTCCCAAAGTGCTGAGATTACATATGTGAGAAATCAGAGTTTTTGAGTCTGAAGGACCCTTACATATTCTGCAATAACCCTCCCATTTTGCCGAGGAGGAAAAGGAGGGGGAAGCAGAAAGGGGACAGAACTTGCCCAGAGCTATCCAGCGAGTTACTGGCAAAGCCCCAGCTGGAACCAGCCCAGGGCTCTTTCCAACCTTTGATTTGAGGTTGTAAATTAAAGGAGGAGGAGGGATTTTGACAGTTAAAAAAAAAAAAAAGCACAAGTGGGTTCTGATGGAGAGATAGGATTTGTTATCTGGAAGCCTGAGTAGCATCTTGATGTGAGGAGGAGTTTTTTAAGAGGCAGAAATCAGAATGGAAAAGCAGAGGGCTGGTTCTTGAATCAAAACATCACTGAGAAGAGAGATGAGTCAAGAGTATATTGCTTCCTCTAGTCTCTCTGGATGAACCCATTTCCAATCACATTCGGAATCAGTTCCATGCTTTCCCTTGCTAGCTTATCTGCTGGGAAAATGACCCCAGCATTGGGGTCATTGTCAGCTTCTAGGAACTGCCCTCATGGGCTTCCTTCCTTCGTCTTCAAAACAAACAATGGTGAGTCAAATCCTTCTAATGCTTCACATCTCTCTGACCTCTGCTTCTGGCTCATCTGTTCCCTTTCTTTCTCCTGAATCTCTCTGACTTTTCTGCTTTGAAAGATTTAGGTGACTACATTACAGTTACTCAGATAGTCCAGGATGATCTCCTCAATTTAAGATCAGCTGATTAGTCACTTTCACTCTTAACAGCAAAGTCCCTTCACTGAAGCATTTAGATTAATGTTTAATTGAATAACAAGGGCACTGGAATCTTGGAATAGGGGACATCTTTAGAATTGTGCCTACCACACAAGTCAGAGGGAAGACATTTGTAACTCACACTGTGCATAACAGCATGCTTTTCCCACTGTCTCTCTCGAACCCTGTGAGGTAGACAGGACAGGTTGATTTATTCCTATGTTTTATACATGAAGCATAGGACTCAGCGAGGAGAAGAGGCTTGAATCATGATGACACGGCAGTTTTTAAATTTTTTTTGGAGACAGAGTCTTGCTCTGTCACCCAGGCTGGAGTGCAGTGGCATAATCTCGGCTCACTGCAGCCTCTGCCTCCCAGGTTCAAGAGATTCTCCTGCCTCAGACTCCCAGGTAGCTGGGATTACAGGCATTCCCCACCACACACTGAGCTAATTTTTGTATTTTTGGTAGAGACAGGGTTTCACCATGTTGGCCAGGCTGGTCTCGAACTCCTGACCTCAGGTGATGCACCCACCTCGGCCTCCCAAAGTGCTGGGATTACAGGCATGAGCCACCATGCCCGGTCAACACAGCAGTTCTTAAGGTAGCCTGGAATACCGGAAACGATACTGGGTTCGGAATCCAGGGACTTAAGTTATGACTTCAGTATGTCAATTTCTTGGCTCTGTGAACCTGACCAGTTTCTATACTGTTCTGGGCCTCAGTTTCCTTATCTGTGAAGTGATGCATTGATAACTACATCACAATGTTGTTGTGAGATTTGAGAATGATAAATCTCCAATGCACAGCACATGGGCCAACATTATTGTTCAGTATTTAATTTTTTTTTAAAGATATCGGCAGAGCCACTGCTAGAACCCAAATTTTGTGGTTTTTGTTTGTTTGTTTTTGGAGACAGAGTCTCACTGTCACCCAGGCTGGAGTGCAGTGGCGCGATCTCTGCTTACTACAGCTTCTGCCTCCTGGGTTCAAGTGATTCTCATACCTTAGCCTCCCGAGTAGTTGGAATTACAGGTGCATGCCACCACACCATGCTAGTTTTTGCATTTTAAGTAGAGAAGGGATTTTGCCATGTTGGCTAAGCTGGTCTCAAACTCCTGGCCTCAAGTGATCTGCCCACCTTGACCTCCCAAAGTGCTGGGATTACAGGCATGAGCCACCGCACCTAGCCAAAACCCCAAATTTCTTGGTTCCAAATCTTTTATTTGACAAAGCTTTATCATGCACCAGTTGTGTTCCAGTTTGTGTGCTGGGAGCTAGAGACTCAAAAGTGACTCAGGTTTGACTTTGAAAGGTGACTCCATTATGTCACACAAAGGCCACCCAGGAGTGGTCCACAAAGGCGATTCCAACATGACACACAAAAGATATTTGGACGTGACTAAATTTCTTTTTTTTCTTTTTTGAGACGGAGTTTCGCTCTTGTTACCCAGGCTGGAGTGCAATGGCGCGATCTCGGCTCACCGCAACCTCCGCCTCCTGGGTTCAGACAATTCTCCTGCCTCAGCCTCCTGAGTAGCTGGGGTTACAGGCACGCGCCACCATGCCCAGCTAATTTTTTGTATTTTTAGTAGAGACGGGGTTTCACCATGTTGACCAGGATGGTCTCGATCTGTTGACCTTGTGATCCACCCGCCTCGGCCTCCCAAAGTGCTGGGACTACAGGCTTGAGCCACCGCGCCTG